GACGTGTAACATTACTTCAAAACAAAAACAAAGAAAGACAAAGGTACTGCTAAACCATGACCACCATGTGTTTTAAGAAAGTAAAGTACTTTATTTTTAGTAACGATATTTACAGCTTATCGAAACGCTCTGTTAGTCGTCTCCAAAGATAGAAGGAATTTACCCCTCATTCAGACGAAGTCGATGACATTTAGTCAATGTCCTTATTTAGCAGTTACGCTGCAAATACGGTGACGTGATAGTTCAAAAAACATCATAGAAAACAGAAAAATCTGAACAGGTTGAAAAATATGACCAAAACAGAATATAAAGATATAAACGAAGCACCTGAAGAGAATAATTTCATCTTTTCGGTACTTATAAACACTCCAAATATACAACAAAATGCATTTAAGGGCTAAAAAAGTGGATTTTGCATGATATGTCCCCTTTAAGATACAATTCTTGCATAGTGTGCCTTTAACTTAAAATTAAAACTGATTTTTTTTTTATTCTTTATTTTGTCATTCTTAAAGTGATGCGGCATCCATACACATTTGCTTTCACTGTGCAGAAAAGACATATTTTCTATAAAGAAAAAAAAATTGTGTTTCACTGAGGAAAGAACGTTTGAAATGGCATAAAGGTGATCTGGATGTGAAGGACAGCTGTAAAACACACACACACACCATTCACAAATATCCACACAGTCATAAAAGTTCCCAGAGCTTGTATAATTCTATATTGCTGACCTTTTTTCTCTCCAGTCTCCAGGCATGTAATGCTGCACGACTCACACACCACTTATCCAAAGCAAAAGAGATCATCTGCCCAACATTATTGGGCTAAATGCTTTTCGACTGGATATCTATTTTCAGGAAATGCGTAAGCAAAGTGTGTTCTGTTTTAAATGCTTTTGTAACGTATGCCCCCGTATCGCGTAATTGAATTGACTAGCACATGTTGGTGGAAGGACATGAAACCAATCCTCAGCGTACGCAATCTGGTGTAGAGAACCGAGCCCAGGCTAAATCACATACGACATGGAGGCGTGGAGACTAGGTACAGAAAGAAAGCGTGAATTACATGTGTAGATAAACAAAGAAGCGGAATAGTAAGTAACAACATTTCAGTTTCGACCTTTTGACATTTATTATGTTGGCATCCGTAGATGTTCATGAACAACATTAACCTTTTGATTGTGTGGATGACATAAAGAGATAACCTTCTGCTTTGGAACGTCTGCTTTTTCTCCGTCTTATCTGCGGAGTTCAGAAAGGGCTGTCGATAAAGATTCAGGCCTACACTTTTATTTGCTTCACTTTCCCGAAGCGTCGCGAAAAGCTTGGAATATGGATAAATACTTTATACTTTGATGTTCGGTTTGTACAAACAGAGATATACATAAATTCTTATTTGCAAAAATGAAGTAATGTGTGTGTTTGAAAAGGCTAATGCAGAAACCAGCCTCACAATAAAGATTGTAAAGATATCATTGCATAAAAAAGTTAAGCAGCAGCGAGAAAAACACCCAGAGCTAAAATACAGTTTAAATCAAGCAAGCAAACACAACAGGTTTATCTTTGACTTGCTAAACAGACGTATTTTGTGGTTTATGGTGGTCAAAATTGCCCTCTGGTGGTCAGATCTGTCTACAGACACTCTCTTGGCTTTTCACACATTATGATCAACAGATGTCTGATGCTGGAGCACATGGAAGTGCGTTTGTTTGAGGGAGAGAAGGTCGGCGATGCTTCTTCCGTTCAGGGTATTTGTTGGCCCAATGCCCCATCCTAGCACAACTGTGGCAACTATTAATTTTTCCTTTAGATTTCTCACTCTTTTGCATGTTAATAACATCTTGTGCCCAGGATCCCTGCTGCAATAAATGCAGCCCAATCACGAATTGAGGGGAGAGATGATCTGAACAACTGAATAAACTTTGCATTCAAATTAGTTAAAATTAGTAAAAATAATCGCCAAATCTAAATCTTGACCTCCACAGGCATTTTTTTTTTACCCCATTATGGCTCTATTATTTGAGATAATGTGTACCCTGATAGCACAAGTCTATTTGATGTGATGTTTACATCTGGAAGATGTATTTTTAAGAGTGTTTGCTCATCTGTAATCTGTCAGATGTCAAAAAAATGTCAGTTTAACATGCATTCTAAATCATTACATCTTAAAGACATCTTCTAAACGTCTATTTGACATCTGACAGGAAACGTCCTATAGACGTATTGCAGATGAGCAAACACTCTAAAAAATATGTCTTCCAGATGTAAACATCACTTTAAATAGACTTGTGCTATCTGGGTGCTCAATAAACAAGAGTTAATATGGAGTAACTTACTTTTTAGATATCATGTTACATGAATCCTACATCACATCTTGAAGTTAGACATGATAGGTGGGATTTTACTACCTGAAAGGGATAGTTCGCTTTGAAATTAATTTTTGATATGTTTCAGCTTACCTCAAGGTCATCCAAGATCTAGGTGTCTTTGTTTTTCAATTTTAACATTTTTTGGTCAAACCGTTGTTGTCTGTCAGTCATATAATGCAGGTGTGGGGGGGTCCACCTAAAAGAGCATGCACAGAGAAGTCCAAATTAAACATGATTTAATGACCCGTAAATGTAAGTAGACACGAAACGAGCGGTTTGTGTGAGAAAACGAACAGTATTTATATAGTTTTTACCTCTTGTTAACAGCCGTCGAACTGTATCAGATGTTCAACTGAACCGTCTCCATTAAGTTATGCCGGAAGTGATCTCTCCCGCGTTTACACGCATTGTTTACACGGAGATTTCGGAAGTTTTACCGTTCACTAAACATATTTAGATATATCGAAATCATCTTCCATTGCATTTTCTCGTATATATAAATATGTTTAGTGAGAGTTGTTTTTAGGGAGAGTTGTTTTTATGCATATTTATCACAGGCATCGCTTTGTTTGTCCTGTAACCAATGGAACATCAAGATCCAATATTCATTTTATCATCATGTTTGGCTGTAAATCAATAGGTCTACTCGTTAATAATTAATACTTATTCATGATATGTTTTATAATTTTAAGTTGGCATGTAGGCTACTCGTGTATTTTCCTCTTCTGTGTTTTAAGGACGGGTGTCGGGCGTCGGGTCGGGTGATCCTCCTCTTCCCGGGTGCCCTGCTCTTGTTAAACCACTCGAGGGCGTAAATGGAGCATATTTACTCTCTCCTGTTTTTGTCTGAAAGCTCTAAAACACGAGGCTTCAGTGAATACTGTTTTATTTATTAATTGCTTTTTTTATTAATGAATGTCTCGTTCATTTATGTAATCAAATTGTTCAGACATGACCGGATACATATACAGCAGAATGTTTTAATTCAACTGAACTTGCCTCATGCAAGGATCATTTTTTTGTGTATGTTGAGATTACTGAAAAACTTGTGCACGCTAGTGTTATTTGCAGTCATTACATTTAAAAACAGATTTTAACAACAGACACACAGTCACCAAAAATATGAAGTAGCCTATTTATGTTCTGTGAGATGATGTTCGAACCACAAGACTGTAACTATGCACAGCACACATTATGATTTATTAAAGTGTGTGTGACGCAGTAGTAGGCCTTGACCTCACCCACAACACCCTTATCTGTGTAACGTCCAGTTTGACAAGTCTCTCTCTGAACACTTATCAGCTCTCACAGGGCCTCCAAAGCTTTTTTCTCACCCACTTGAATCTAGTTCTGGAAAGAATTTTAGAGTTCAATCTGGAGCAATCAGGAATTTGCATGTTTTACCATCCTAAGAAGAGTTCTGTGATTATGTAAAACAATGTGTGAATTTATTCATGGTCATTAAAGGAGTAGTTTACTTTAAAAAAAAAACGTTTGCTGATAATTTACTCACCCACATGTCATCCAAGATGTCCACGTCTTTCTTTCTTCAGTCGAAAAGAAATTAAGGTTTTTGATGAAAACATTCCAGGATTTTTCTCCATATAATGGACTTCAATGGGAACCAAACGGTTCAAGGTCCAAATGAGAGTTTCAGTGCAGCTTCAAATGGCTTTAAAAGACACCAGACGATGAATAAGGGTCTTATCAAGTGAAACGATCGGTCATTTCAAAAATAAATAACAAAGTTTAAGTTTTATAAGCACAAATACTCGTCTTGCTCTGTTCTGTGATGCGCGTTTGTGACTCTCCTGTTTGAACTCGTTCATCAATGAACTGACTCGAAAAAAGATTTGTTCATTTTGCTAGATAAGACCCTTATTCATCGTCTGGTGTCGTTTAAAGCCCTTTGAAGCTGCACTGAAACTCTCAATTGGACCTTGAACCGTTTTGGTTCCCAATGAAGTCCATTATATGGGGGAAATCCTGAAATGTTTTCATCAAAAACCTTAATTTCTTTTTGACTGAAGAAAGAAAGACATGGACATCTTGGATGACATGGGGGTGAGTAAATTATCAGCAAATTATCAAAGCAGAAACTATTGAAGCCAATGGGTGCCGTTACCAACATCATTTAAAATATCTTCCTTTGTGTTCAACAGAAGAAAGAAACTCGAGCAGGTTTGAAACAACATGAGGGTAAGTAAATGATGACAGAATTTCCCTTTTTGGGTGAACTATCCCTTTAAGGCAAAACCATTGGTTTTTCATTCACTGAGCTATTTTACTTCCATTACTTGCTTCTTTTTATTACGCTTTGTAACGCATACAAAATACATGACGATTTCCATTCTGAATAAATCAAGAATTTTGAACCTGGTTTTATCCAATGTTCAGATTTCTGTTCTGAGCATTTATTTAAATGACTGACTGCATATTAATTATAATGCCTCATTTGAATATTTTAAACATTTTAGGAAACTTATAATACATAAAAATTGTCTTATTATACTGTGATTGATAAAAATTGCCATGTACTGTACCTGATATATCTTGTGAGTCGTGAACACCCAGAATATGTTTAGGATATCATATGCATGCATGTAACAGATGGCTATGTAAAAATGACACAACCTTTTATCTTTTTTTATTGCAAGAGTATGGCTTAAGATAAATAAGGCAACAAATGTTTCAAATGGAAAACATACAGCAAGAAACACTTTAAACAGTTTTACAACATGTCCAATAAAGGTGCAACTTTAACTAAAGGCCATTTAGGGAACTAATGACCTGCTTTCATTGGCACGAGTGCGCCCGGCCTGCGTGTGGGTTTCTGAAACGTAAGCCACCTCTGAAACAAAAGAAATGAAGAAAGACAGAGACAGCATAAGCAAATAATTAGCAGGCCTTGAAGAAAGACAGAAAAGAGAAACATGTCAGACGTGACGTGCAGATGAAAGAGGTTAGTGTCATGGGTTAATTCCACAGCCGTGAAACACGTGGCTTTCCAGAGCCATAACAGAAGCTGAAAGACACTACAAGAAGAGACGCAGACGCAGTGAAACAAAGGAGAAGTAGATCACGACGCAGCCTGTAAACAAGCGGCTAATGCACAAACAATGGATTTAACTTTAACATCCATGCTTTATTATCATGCATTGATCAATCTGCTAACAATCACCTTCCAGTGTCGACAAAAAAAGTCTATTAATACTCCTGACTGGGGGAAACCTGTGCATTTTACTGTACTTTACCCTGCACATTATAGGAAGCAAATTAGGGATGCACGATATATCGGCCACCATATCGGTATCGGCCGATATTTGCTCATTTTTATGTTATCGTTATCGGCCCGATAATAAAATTTGGCTGATATATTAAAGCTCATAAATAATGAATTATTTCCTTCAACACTTGAGATGCGCACTGTTCAACATGATTGATCTTAATTGCTTGAAATATGATTGGAATCAAAAACGAAGTGCAAAATGTGCTGTCATATCGGCTACGTGAAATTATAATGAGAACGTTACAATCGTGTTAGGGAACGGATTTTGATTGTGAGACTTTTGTTTTTGCAATCAGGCTTTCAAAAATTTTAGATTTTTTTCGGCCGATATATCGGTTATCAGCTTTCAAATATAAGGAATTATCGGTTATCGGTATCGGGCAAAATGTTCATATCGGTGCATCCCTATAGCAAATGACATCCAAAGGAACCACAGTCATAGTCCAGTGAATCAGATGAAGGGGTAAAAGTAGTTTCTGTGTTTTGCATGATTCATAAGTATGACAAAAATGTTCATTTGAATATGGCTGGATTTCCATAGTGTAAATTTGATCACTAACAAACATCCTGGTAAACAGAGACACCAACACATGTGCATTTGGAACTGTTGTTCATGAGAACTATGCCTGAGAGAACAAAGAATAATGCAGATTTGCTTTTTGTAGGGATACACAATACATCACTGGTCATGTCGAAAATGTAAATGTGAATTTTTAATGTGATCTGTATCAGTCTACGTTTAAATGATAAATTATAGCCAAATGATATAGAGGCGCGTTTCTGCCACGGAATAAAACAATTTAAAAGATCATTTCTAATTTTTATCTCACAATTCTGACTTTTTTCCTCAGGTGTGTGACATATAAAGTTGTTATAAAGTCAGAATTGCGAGATGTAAACTCACAATCTGAGAAATTGTGACTTTTTAACACGCAACTGTGAGAAAAAATAGTCAGAATTGTGATATAAAAAGTTGCAATTATCTTTTTTATTTTATAAAATGACCATAGGATCCCTAATTAAAAATAAAAGTATATAGGCCCTATATATATTATTTCTTATTATTTTATATATATAGTATCATTTATTTATTCCAATGGATCATAGTAGGTCAATTTGTTAAAAGATTGTGAAAAATCAACAATCAATGTTTTGTTCTGTTGTTTCACCGGTTTTAAATCTGGATTTTTAAGGTGGCCGTTTTTTTGTTTTTTTTGTAATCAATCTCACAAAATGTAGTTTGATATGTAATATATCTATTGGCTTCAAAATGTCCATATCAATGCATCCCTAGTTACACATACACAACACAGATAGAGCAAATCCAGTCTTTAAAGTCTTTAAAGGAGTAGTTCACTTTTAAAAAGAACTTTTGCTGATAATTTACTCACCCCCATGCCATCCAAGATGTCCATGTCTTTCTTTCTTCAGTCGAAAAGAAATTAAGGTTTTTGATGAAAACATTCCAGGATTTTTCTCCAATATAATGCACTTTATTGGGAACCAAACGGTTCAAGGAGAGCCAAACGACAGTTTCGGTGCAAACTGTTCAAAGTTCTTTAAACGATTCCAGACGATGAATAAGGGTCTTATCAAGCGAAACGATCACTCATTTAATAAATAAATAACAAAGTTTAAGTTTTATAAGCTCAAATGCTCGCCTTGCTCTGTTCTGTTCATACCTCTCCTGTTCGAACTCGTTCATCAAAATGAACAAATCTTTTTCTGAGTCAATTCGTTCATTGAATCAACCAAATGACACGAAAAAAGATTCGTTCATTTTGATGAACGAGTTCAAACAGGAGAGTCACGAACATGCATCATAGAAAAGAGCAAGGTGAGCATTTGTGCTTATAAAACGTAAACTTTTTTATTTATTTTTGAAATGGCCGATCGTTTCGCTTGATAAGACCCTTATTCATCGTCTGGTGTCGCTTAAAGCCATTTGAAGCTGCTCTGAAACTCTCATTTGGACCTTGAACCGTTTGGTTCCCATTGAAGTCCATTATATGGAGAAAAATCCTGGACTGTTTTGATCAAAAACCTTAATTTCTTTTTGACTGAACAAAGAAAGACATGGACATCTTGGACGACATGGGGGTGAGTAAATTATCAGCAAAAGTTTTACTACTCTAAGCTTTAAGTGAATCTCTATGGGCAACATCTGTGAAATAATAATTGTAAAACCAAACAAATATTATATGTACAGTAATGCACTTTAAATGGAACTATTACAAGGGGAAAAAATGCTTTGAATGTACAGCCCATCATGTTAACTAGTGTGCTAAAACCACCTAAAAGTTTCACAAATTGTATAGCTTGTTTATTTGGAAGTATAAATCATATCTTGTCCACTGTAATACAGATTTTATCTGAAGGAAGAGAGAGACACAATTATTTTCCGTGGTAATAGACATTTCACAGATGATGTCAATAGATTAGCTCGTGTTGAACCCGGCATTCCTTTACAGCTATGCAGTATGACTTTCATAAGAAGTGTAAACATGAATGGTTAAACCGAGTGAACGAGACGTGTTGATCAGTCAGGCTTTGTAAACTTGCAGTCAAGACAAAGAAAGTCCATTAATAATTAAAAGCAGAACGTCTCCTTTAATCGTGCATATAAAGGCAGCTCACTCGTTAAAGTGCTTAAAGTTCACTCCGTGTTTGACACTTTTTTTTCCACACACTCCAAACCAAGCCGTTTAATTTCCACCCTGTGAATAAGTTCATGAAAACGTCTCAAGGTTGTTTTTCCTTTTAAAGGGACGTGATGAGGTTTCTCTCACAGCGAGACCCAGCGGCCCGTGTGTTCTTCCAGCCAGTGCTGTAGAGCCTGTAGACTGAGCGGTTCGGTCTCTGCGTACATCTGGACAAGCTGTTCGTGGAGAACGGCGAGCAGAGGCAGACTCACGCTGAGCAGCTCGTACAGAAACGCGTAATCCCCAGCGTTATCCATCAGGTGAACACCTGCCGCACACACTTTCCCATGCAGCCAGTTAAACACACCACGGGGCACAGAACACACACACCGGCTCACGTGCAGCGGCCAACGCAGGCTTCTCTTCAGAGAGGACATGATACCTGGAGACTCGGCCTGAAGATGAGTCTCGCGTTCCTCTGGACTCCAGCGAGAGCCGTCGGGGGATCCGTTGTTACACGTCTGAAGGAGAAACGTTACTGTAAGACAACTATTGAGGAATTACGAAACTTAAATGACTGTTTTTTTATTTACCGTGTGCAGATTTTGCGATCTTCCATTCGTCACTAAGGATTTCCGTTGAGCAAAGTGGAGTTTGCAGTACAGCTTTCCTATAGGAGGAGAAGAAACCGTTAGTTAGTCACTCACGTCCACCACTGCTTGTGTGGGTAAAATCGAGTCGTTTTAAAGGAGTAGTTCACTTTTAAAAAAACTTTTGCTGATAATTTACTCACCCCCATGTCATCCAAGATGTCCATGTCATTCTTTCTTCAGTCGAAAAGAAATTAAGGTTTTTGATGAAAACATTCCAGGATTTTCTCCATATAATGGACTTCAATGGGGTTTCAGTGCAGCTTCAAAGGGCTTTAAGCGAAATGATCGCTCATTTAAAAAAGTTTTATAAGCACAAATGCTCGCATTGCTCTGTTCTGTGATGCGCGTTCGTGACTCTCCTGTTCGTTCATCAAAATTAACAAATCTTTTTTCGAGTCATTTGGTTCATTCAACGAAGGCGAGGCGAGCATTTGTGCTTATAAAACTTAACGTGTTTTATTTATTTTTGAAATGACCGATGGTTTCGCTTGATAAGACCCTTATTCATCGTCTGGTGTCGTTTAAAGCCTTTTGAAGCTGCACTGAAACTCTCATTTGGACCTTGACCCGTTTGGTTCCCATTGAAGTCCATTATGTGAAGAAAATCCTGGAATGTTTTCATCAAAAACTTTCATATCTTTTCGACTGAAGAAAGAAAGACATGGACATCTTGGATGACATGGGGGTGAGTTTTTTTTAAAATGTGAACTACTCCTTTAATACGAATCTACGTGTTCTGGAATTTCGAAATAGTTCAAATCCTAAATTAAATCTGTTCATCATATAAACAAAGCGATCGAATCTCTTCAGAAAACCTGGATTAAACCGTTCAATTCATGTGAATTCGTTTTGCAATCTCTTTATGAACTTTTTGGAGCGTCAAAGTGGTAGTTGCGTAGCTGTCAATGGAGGGACAGAAATCTCTCAGATTTCATCAAAAAGATCTTCATTTGTGTTTTGAAGATGAACAAAAGTCTTACGGGAATGACACGAGTAATTAATGACAGAATTTTCATTTTTGCGTGAACTATCCCTTTAATAAACTTGCCAACTAGCGTTTCTGATGTGCGATTCTCCTTGTGACGGCCTGGGTCATTATCACAAAGAGCTGACCTATTTTTGCAACGTAAGAGACAAATGCTTGAATTTAAATGGATACAGTAAAGAAAGAGAGAGAGAGAAAAAATAATAAAAAAATAAAATAGCGGGATACAGCAGTTCACCCAAATATGTAATGATTTTCACATAACCTGATGTCTGTTTGTTACACAAAACTATCAAATAAAACCAGTCTTGTGACCACTAAGTGTTTTCTGTGTTTTTTGTTGTTGATTCCGGCTTGTAATTTTTATTTAGTTTTTTTAGTTTTTGTTGTTATTTTGTTTGTTGTAATCTTTGTATTTTTTGTTATTTGTCTAGGGACTACGGATGTAAATTAGCCCTGTGGCTATAATCCGGCATGTTTACGTCTGTTTTGTTGTCTCAATTCAGTAGTTCATTAATGTGCATTGTCCCTATCAAATAAATAAATAAATAAATAAAATGGTTTTAGAAGACTTGGAATATAGTACAGCTTCATGATTTTTTTGTTTAAGACAGAGATCATGACTGAAACAAAATAACGTCCAACAAGAGGTTCTGACAAAATGTTAATAGCTATTTAAAATATTTAACGAATATGAATTCCATATAATTATTAATTTTAACAATCGTTTTGAATGAATGATTCAATGACTCACTTATAAAGACTTCACTTGTTTCATCGCCGGATGAATCAGCATTTTTGAACAAATGACACATTTGTAACAGTCACTTGTCGCCACCTACTGGTGTAACAGTGTAATAGATAATCTTTAACTGAAGCGTCAAGTGACTTTCAAAAGTTGATTTACTCGATTTTGATCGCTACGGTAGACATCAGCGTTTATATCCGAACTATAAAAAGTTTTATCTCAGTACTCGGGTTCGAGCGACATGACAGTGAGTAAATCATGATTTGGTGTTCATTCAGTACCTTCCACCGAATCGAAGGAGTGTCCTCCCTGGCGCAGCGGAGCTCTGCATGTGTCGCAGCGGAAACACTCCCTGTGGAAGTGCAATCCCTCAGCGCTGAGCCTCTCCACTACAAACACACGCTTCTTACACGCGTGACACACATCACCCAGACTCTGAGGAAACTCTCTTTTTAAGGAAGGCTAGGGGATAAAAAAGAAATAATCTGGTCAAGATAGTGTGATTTAAAAGTACCCTGAAAATAAACATCCACACTGTGGACGGGGTCATACTTGAAATTGTCACTTTGAAATTAATTTTTGATATGTTTTAGCTTACCTCAAGGGCATCCAAGACGTGTCTTTGTTTCCGCAGTAGTTTCAATTTTGATATTTTGATCTGTCAGTCATATAATGGAGGTCTATGGTCACCACCTCAAAGAGCATGTGCAAAGAAGTCCAAAATAAATATGATTTAAGACTCGTAAATGTACTGCAAGTACACATTGATGGCCTAAGACACGAAACGAGCGGTTTGTGTGAGAAAACGAACAATATTTATATCGTTTTTACCTCTTGTAACCACAGCCACGTCCAAGTGATCTAAGGGCGTGGGCGCTACGGTCTGTGCAAGTGCCAGAAATCGCCGGAAGTGATCGCTCGTTTCATGTCTTAGGGCAGGGGTGCCCAATCCTGCTCCTGGCGATCGACTGTCCTGCACAGTTCATCTCAAACCCTAATCAAACACACCTGAAGTAGCCAATTAAGGTCTTTAGGATCACATTCAGGTGTGTTTGATTAGGGTTGGAGATGAACTGTGCAGGACAGTCGATCGCCAGGAGCAGGATTGGGCACCCCTGTCTTAGGGCATCAATGTGTACTTACATTTACAAGTCATTAAATCATGTTTAATTTGGACTTCTCTGTACATGCTCTATGAGGTGGTGACCATAGACCTCCATTATATGATTGACAGACAAGAACGGTTTGACCTGAAAATTTCAAAATTGAAACTACTGCGGAAAAATACCAGGAAAATATGATAAATACCAGGAAAATAGTATAGTTTTTTTGCAGCATACATTGTGCAACTGCAATTGCCAAAATTTAAATAACATTTAATGACTTACACACATGACTTAAACATGCAAAATGTATGCGACATATGATATGGGGTTGCATTTCTTCACCGTTACATTTTCATAAAGTATTAGGCAGTATATACTGTATAGTATGCAAACCTATAAGACATTTTTGGTTGCACTTTATTTGTGCATTTACCTAAGAAAGTAATTGCAATAATATGTACATTGGGAACAGGGCTGTAAAATAAAATGCTAATTGGTAAGTTTAGATGAGTAACCATCATAACATTTTTGTAGCTTGATAGTACCAGTCCCCATTCACTTTCATTGAATAGAAAAAAACAGCTTGGACATGTCCCCTAACATCTCCTGTGTTTCAGGAAAATAAGAATATCATACAAATGAGGGAGAGTAAATGATGACTTATTAACGTGAACTGAAATGCAGGAGATGACCACATAAAATCCCTTTAGTTCTGGATTAAACAATCATCTGAACAGCTGATCTGAGTCTTACCGGAGTGCCTGAGCTGCTTGGCTGAGGCCTGTGATCGTTAGCGCCCACTAGAGACACTCTGCCTACTGTGCGCTAACAGCCAATGTGAGAGCAGGGACAGAAAGTGGAGAAAAGAGAATGAAACAGAAGGACAAAGCAATTAAAAGGGGAAGACGTGCTGAGGGAAAATCTGAGAGAAAAGAATTCAGATTGACAAATTTGACTGCAGTATTTTTGCCTAATCTTATTGCATTGCTGTTTCAAAGTGATGTCCTATGACTGGCGTGTTTTTTTTGACTGGCATGACTTTTGTAATATTTTATGTTGTTGTTGTTGTTTAATACATGTATCAATGACGTCATATCCGCGTTACCCCCCGGTTTCCGCCAGGTTTGACTTCGTACTGCAATAGTAACCATGGCGACAGACGTGGACGACTAGGTCGGTTGTGCCCGTTATGCGAGCTCAACAGCGTTAGCGCTCCTAGCAGGGTTTTGTTCAAACATTATGAACCATGGCAAGCAGACTTTGGGACAAAAAGAGGACTAAAACGAAGATCAACATCTTTCGAGATGCCGAGAGCTCCACGTCTGCGACTAACTTCGACTTGACAGAGACGCGAGTGTTGCGTGTTACTTGAGCAAACAGGTGAGCAAATCAATGTATGTAAAACTAATCAATGTTTTAGTAGTTCAACATGATGAAAAGTTAGAATATGATCTGTATGTTAACCTAGCTTAGTCTCACACAGCCAAAAAACAACCTAACTAACATTCAACACACACAAATGCCGTTTAGTGTGATAGCGTAACGTTAACCGTTAGCGCAAATGAAGCCCCAGACAGCAAACTGACATCGAATCAACGTGGAAACGACGTCTCTCATGACATTGAAACAACGTTGATTTTGCTCATCGAATTAACGTTGAACCAACGTCAGACGCGGCATTCTTCAAAGCTAAATGAAAATCGAAAATTGGTTTGCTTTCATAACGTTGAAACAACGTTGATTTCAAGTTGATTTTCCGCTAGTTTTGAAAGAATGACGCGTCTGACGTTGGTTCAACGTTAATTCGATGAGCAAAACAATGTCAGATCAACGTTGTTTCGATGTCATATTTCCACGTTGATTCAATGTCAGTTTGCTATCTGGGGCAGCGCTGCGTTACCTCAAGTTTAATTCCTCTAATAATCAGACCTGTGCGAGCAATTCAGCACTTGTGTGTAGTTCGGTAGAATTAAATGTCCTTATTTCTTTATATCCGCGGGACTCGTGTTGCGTGTGGCGCTGGTATTTACGTCTAGCAATCGCACCCTGCTTCATACTACTCACTGTATTCACTCATCCATAAAAAATACATCAGCTTGACGACAAGATCCATACGTCATTAATATACGCCTTTGTTATTGTAAGAAGTTAGCGACCCCTGGTGGCGAAACAATCTTGCATATTGTACTTTTAAACTTTACTGTTAATTTCTGCTGGAAACTGCAGTGAAATATATGTATAGGTACGTTTTTGGAGTTCTGCAGCAATGTAGTCACATATTTTTTACTTACACCGTGTGTCCACCAAAGCGTTTTTCCACCCGCCTGGCGTATGTTTTCAATTGTTTTCAATGGGAGCGCCGCGTTTTTTAAACGCCATGAGCGTACCGAGGTGCTGAGCGTTTTTTTCAAGCTGAAGCGCCCAACTTTTTTACTGGTCGCTGGGAGTTGAAAAATGTTCAACTTTGGATAAAACGCAGCGCTCATCACTGTCACTTTTTACCCAGCCGTCCAATCACAGTGGAGGAGGGCGGGACTAATACCACACCGACCAACTGTCACAACATTCAAACTGCTGCGGATATTCTGTATCATAGCAACGGAAAAAAACGCTGTGCTGCCAAAACGCTCTCAAGCGCCCACATAGACATATACACTAGACCTCACCTTGGATACGGCAGTTCATTGGAACGAATGCGTCAATAGAGCCGCCATCTTGAAACAGGGGAGCCCCTCCACTTTAATGCATCAGCGTCAATGTAGTAGACACAGGTCTAACGCAAATAAAATCACCATAAATCATCATGAATGCGATTTTTCTTGTTTTTTTTGGTTTGTTCCAACGGGCAGACATGTATTTATCATTGATTCCAGAAAGAAAAAAAATATATATATATTTTTTTAAAACATTCTTCCTAGTTCATATTTCATCCGTGAACATCATACGCTGCAATAAAAGTCCACCACCATCAATGAATTCGAAGTAAAGGCAGAGATAGCAGCTTTACCTAGCTACTTCCTATGACAAGACCCCTGTTCCAAGATGGCGGCGGTTTTGATGCATGCTTAGAACCCCCAAGTGAGGTCTAGTGTATATGTCTATGAAGCGCCCAAAGCACGGCGCCTAGCGTTTTCAGCTGGCTAAAAACGCTTTGGTGGACACACAGCCTTACGCCTGGGTTGGGTTTATAGGATGTAGGCGGCTCCCCATGTACTGGAACAGAACCCGTGTCTTATAGCTCAAAATGAGGGTTGTCTTGTCAGTCAATCTTGAGAAACTAAAACTCCACAAACTCCTATGATCCAGTAACTTCGAACCGTTCAGTTAGCGTTTCAGGTCAAGCATCTGGCAATGGAAGAGAGGAATGCTCTCTCTCCCTGTGGTCAGCAGGAATGTGAGGATGCTTACAGCCAAGTGTGTGTGTTGTACTGGCACGTTCTCATTACAAAACCAACCATGTGAAGAGAGACCTGCCTACGCCAACAATCTCTCCATCCAGCCAGAACGCATATCATGCATGTACCTGTTTGGGAGCATTTGGGTGTCCATTTGATTGAAGAATGTCTGTTTGTTTTCTTACAGTAAAGGATGTTGTGCTACTGCTGGTGTCAGACTGAAAATCATGTAGATTTGAGAGTTTATTGAAGTGATCCTCTTTGGTTAAAGGAATAGCTGACCCAAAAATGTAAATGATGTCATCATTTACTCATCCTAATTCTGCTCCAAACTTGTATGACTTTCTTTTTTCCAAGGATCACAAAAACTTTCCTTTTCCAGGAAAGCATTCTTCTTTAATTTGGGCTTTCAAGCTCCACAAATGATAATACCAAAAAACAGCAAAATTTGTGAATAAAACAAAGATAATTGGAGTATGTTTTACTAGAAAATTCTACTTTAGTCTTTCTACTTCAAAATCAAGTTGGTAACACTTTTTTTTCCAATTCTCACTATTAACTAGTTGGATATTAGCTGTTTATTCAACCCGTTCTCATCCTTTAACGTCATATAGAACGCTATATGACAAAACGGCGCTATACTACGCGCATGGCACACGTTATCGTTAATATAACACGCGCTGTGAGGGCTAAGTTTAGGTGTGGGGTAGGGTGCGCGTGTCACATTTACGCTAAAGGATTTATAACGTCTTGGGTTCGCGTGTTATATTAACGATAAAGGGTGCCATATGCGTAGTATAGCGCCGTTTTTGCATATAGCGTTCTATATGACGTTAAAGGATGAGAACGGGCTGGTTTATTAGTACTTATAAAGCACAAATTAATGCCTTAATCTGCATTACATTGTTCTACATTTCTAATCCTAACCAATAACTATTAATTAGGAGTTTATTGAGGCAAAAGTCCTAGTTAACAGTGAGTTAACTTCACTGAAAATCTCAAATGTCATTTGAACATCCACATATTGAACTAGTATTATTAAGACGCGAGATATTTCTTCTATGGGAGAAAGACGTTACAAAGGTTTGAATCAACAATATGAGTAAATAATGATAGCATTTTCATTTTTGGGTGAATGTTTCACGTTCACTTCATGACAAACACTCACCATTTGTGAGATATTCTTTGCTTCTCCTTGCATGTTTATGCCATAAATAATTTCTGGTTTTGATTTACAGCTTTAAAAAGGCACACAGGAAGAGTGAAATGAAATAGTATGTTAAAAGGGAAGTTGGAAGGAAGTATGTTGAAGGTGAAATCACATCTTTACCTTAATGAGAAAGCAGAGGAGAAGGTAAAGAAAAGATGGAGAGGAGCAGAGCATTCTGGGATGGGGTGAAATATTATGGAGTTAGAAGAACTGGTCTGTTAAGAGCAGAGATAGAGATGGAGATATTAGACAGGAGCTGATGCCTTTGATGGTGTGTTTTACAGAACAGCATTTTAAAGCGCTCAAATATTATTAAAGGATCAATAAGTAATTTTTGCTCACTGGCCTTGGACTTTATACTGACACTTACTGGATGCAGTCATTGATGCCATTGTAAATGAATTTCCTATTCACAGGCACATTTGGGATCTGATACGACAGACTGTAGAGTTATTGGACATTAAGGCCGTGTGTCCACCAAAGCGTTTTTCCACGCGCCTGGCGTATGTTTTCAATTGTTTTCAATGGGAGCGCTGCGTTTTTTAAACGCCATGAGCGTACCGAGGCGCTGAGCGTTTTTTTCACGTCCGTTTTTTACTGGTCGCTGGGAGTTGAAAAATGTTCAACTTTGGATAAAACGCAGCGCTCATCACTGTCACTTTTTATCCAGCCGTCCAATCACAGTGGAGGAGGGGCGGGACTAATACCACACCGACCAACTGTCACAACATTCAAACTGCTGCGGATATTCTGTATCACAGCAACAAAACGTCTCAACGGAAAAAAACGCTGCGCTGCCAAAATGCTCTTAAGCGCCCAAAGCAAAAACGCTTTGGTGGACACATGGCCTAATGCTTATACAAAGTGGAAATGCCACTATACCTCAAGTGTGTATTAGTTTTCAATAATTTAATCGTCTGGGGCCAGTTGTTCAAAACATTTAATCTGGATCAAAATGATCTGGATTTGGAAATCCCATTTTTTTCCTATCCAGGATCAGGTAATCCGTCTTACTTTTATGCTGGTTTTTCAAAGCAACATTGGACTGGATCACTCTGATCCAGATACTGTACACAGTTTTCAAGATGACCAAATCTGGATTACCAGTGCTCTAAATGGGACAACATATCACAATGTGGGCTACCAGCTATATAGAGCCAACATGGGGTCACATTTTTATTTTATTTTTACTTTACTATACTGAATAGCTTAATTGTTAGCATTTATCACTGTTACATCGGTTACACGAGTCAAGAGCAAAATATAAATAAAAGTATATACACTAAATTATACAAATGTATTTGACCAATTTTAAAGTTTTACTACATTTTCTTCCTGAAATCCACCTTGAAATCCTACCCCCAGTTGGGATCAGGATAATCCCGTTTTTTTTGGATCAAAGTAATCCAAATCCCACTGACAAGTTTTGAACAACACAAACTGAAGGTTTGATCCAGATTAAAACTAGGATTGTATTCCCTGATCTAATCTGATTTCAGATTCCTTCTTTCGCTTTTGAACCCATTTTCCAAAACCAAAATAACCAAAATCCGATCAGCTTACCTTTGAACAACTGGCCCCTGGAGTCAAATATTACCCTGGCTGACACACATACATATATCTATCTCTATCTCAAGACATTTTTGACAACATTTGTTTGGCATGGTAACGGATATGACTATGTTGGTATATTTGGTCTTTGGTGAACTATATCTGCTACAATATAGCATACATGAATTACACGTAACAGATCTATAGTTTCTAAGTTTCTGAAAGCGCGCTGCAACAACTACAGCAAATGCTGGCCAAGCAGTGAGCTCATTGGCTACTGATACAGCAGGAACCAATCAGCTGTGGCCTATAGAGAACGTGATTGCAAGGAGATTGGGTTAAGTTATCAAGAGTTTAGTATGTCTAGAATTCACTAATGTGTAGAACTTCCCAAAATCACCAATTAAGTATTTTAAACTGCATATTTTTTACAGTGGAAAAATATACTTGCCATACCTTGAAATAAGAGACTGTCTATATAACATGCTGGTTTAGCTACCCAAACGCGTTTCATTTGTAAAGAACAGGACCTTTTAGACAGTGCCATATCACCTTATCATCTTCAAAGTTTCTGTTTTCCTTAGACTGGGGGATCTCTGTTTCGTTCCGATGGCTAAAATGAGACGTTCTGCCACTGCTTAACTGTAACCACAAATTAAAGCCCATTCAATATGTCATAAAGCTGCACTCCAAACATACAATAATGATATCTAACCTACAATTAATCAGATTGACTAAGCTGGTTACCTCCAGCATGCCAGATGTCAAAACACTTGTAAATCTCTCTCTACTATAATTATGTTTCCTAACTTAGCTGAGCGATGAGGAAACACTCACCAGATGGGACAGACTCCCTGTTTCTCCCTGTTTAAAATCCTGCATGTGTAACGGTTTGGGTCTAGACATCTTAACCAAATGGATGTCGATGGAGGAGGAGAAAAGGAAAGAATTAGACTCAGTTTGCATGCACAATTACCTGCCGAGAGGGACAGGAGGAAGTGAGGGGATGAGGACAGGAAGTAGCAGTGCATTGTGGGAGACACAATTCATGAAGAGAAAGAGAGAGAGCAATTTGGATTAGTAGCAGAATGGATGGGTTGAGGAAGATCGCTCTCTACATTCTCTAGATTTTGGTTTCCTTTCATAGAGGTGTCTGGTTTTTCTTTACAACCGGAAAATCAGACCTGCTTTGCCTCAACTAAAATCATAAAGCAAATATTCTCCTGTATCCACCTTATTCTGCTCTAAACAATGCGCGCTGCCATGGCGACGACTCCGGTTGTCAACTTCCGGTTCCAGTCTGGTCTATGCTTTTTTTGCCATGTGCTTTAGATCGTGTCAAAAAACATTCATCAAATGTGATCTGATCACGTTATTTTTTATTAAATCACAGATAAAAACAAAATGAACGTTTTTCTTTGCTTCATAACTTCCAAAGGATAGCTGATGCATGACTGCACGATCTCCCTAATCCAGCAATGAACATCCGACAGTTTCTATCACCCCGACTGCTGCAGAATAACAGGACCCGATCTCACGGGAATTCGTACGAATTTTACGAGGTGGCTAATTCGTAACAATTCGTACGACCTCACTCATACGAATTAGTACGATTTTGCTAAATCGTACATATTTTACAAACTAAACAAATTCGCAGTGTTGGGGAAGCTACTCTGAAACTGTAGTTTGACAAGCTACAAGCTACTCGTAAGTTAAAGTAGTTAAACTACAGTCAAGCTACTCTTTTAGAAAAGTAGTTAGCTACACTACAAGTTACTATCAAAAAGTAGCTAGCTACATTGAAACTACTTTTGCTTTTCTGAACAACGTATATTATTAATAACTGAATAAGTGTCTAAGGAAGGACAGAAGGGGACAACAATACTTTTTGAGATCATAATTTTATTGCATTGTTTTAAACACTAAATGTTTTACTTAAAACATTTAGTGTTTAAAACAATGCAATAAAATTATGATCTCAAAAAGTATTGTTTTATTACACACAACACCCAAATATCTCAGAATGTTTGTCAAAAGTGCAAAATTGCAACAAATAGCCAACAACATTGCAAGAACAAAATATACATCCAACGTAAATTGCATGTAGGACATTTTCTCATAAAACTTGGACAAATAATGCCATGGGTAATTAACTTTAGTTGTTTCTCCATCCTCCAAATCTGCCGTCACGTCTTGCTCCATCATCATGTGTGTGTCAACACACTTCTGTACGTCAGTGAACCGTTAGCCGCAAGATGCGTGATCAAACAACAGGTGGCGGTAATGGCAAAAGAAATATGAGTTTGCAATCTAACAAGAAGAAGAATATAGCATCTCGCTGATTCGCGCAGGCTCGACAAACACAATGTAGCTCTTGCTCGAGCTACTTGCTGCAAAAAGTAGTTAGCTACTGGAAAAGCTACACTGTTTAAAAAGCAACTGAGCTACAGCCAAGCTACTGAAAAATGTAGTTAAGTTAGTAGCTTCGCTACTTGTAGTTAACTACTCCCCAACACTGCAAATTCGTATGAATGACCCCGCCCCTAAACATAACCGTCATGTGGGTTTAGACAAATCGTACACATTCATACGAGTGAGGTCGTATGAATTAGTACGAATTAGCCACTTTTGAATTTTGAAGAATTGGTCGTGAGATAGCGTAGGACTATAAGGTTAGGCTGGTTAGCCCTTTGACTCCTGTCTACCTCTGCTTTCAAAGATGCATAGTCTATTTATTTCTCAGGCCTGTGAGGTTAGGCATAACATTACGTCGAGTTTCATTCATGAGACCAAAGTCCAGTTTGCGCGCTGTCGCCTCCGTCATGATCATCTATTGTTCACTATATACTTCTTATTTATTAAAACCAGGCAATTGGTTGATGAAACATTGATTGAAATTAAGATACAATTAGTGAAAAACGAAATTCACTTCGTGGTTTCTTTGTGGTTTCTCTTTAAGATCTCTGTGAAAGTTTTAAAGTTGCTTTCAGAGCGGTCATGTCCGTGAATATAAAACGCATGTGTAGACTGATATTGTTCTAATGTTTGGACCACTGATCTATATATCATTCTATATAGATGACTGGTCTGGACTAGAGCCAGACCGATATATAGACCGATTTTTCAAACTATCGGTATCGGCAGTTATAATGGCCGATAAATGAATATTTAAAAAATAAAATAAAAACGGACGAAACACGCTTCAATCATCTCTCCTTGGCCTGTTATATATGAAAATGTATGTTTTATAATTTGCAGTATGATGTTATCTATTGCTAAATTATGGCTCATCATAGACTAGCTAACCACAAAGCTAGCTAATGCCACTATCATCAGTGGAAGACCGCTAACGTTAACATTAATGAGCTTGGAAACCACAATGAACTTTTTCATCCTAAATAAAGTAATGATTCCCGTATTTATAAGTAGCATATCTCTAATTACAGTCCCTGAATTTAATTTAGACATAGAGAAAAAGTATCAAACGTAACTGATGATTGAAAATGGTTTGGTGTAGCTTGATGGAAAGAATTTAAAAAGTGCAGGTAAAGGGATAAGCAGGCTGACATTGTAATTATAAGGTAGCTTATAAGGCAATGTAGGGACTAATTATTATTTTATTTATCAGAACTTTAATATATTTTGATGTTCCTCTGTTCTGTTGTGACAATAAAAGAAACAAGTTTCTTTTTAAAATGCTTTATCATACTATTTTAGTTAAAACTCATAAATAACTACAAATAACTATGTTAGGGAAATCTGTTAATGTTTTGTTGCGCGTTTCTGAAAAAAAAAAAAAATAAATAAAATATCGGCCGATATATCGGAATATCGGATTTTAAAATGCAAAAATATTTGTATCGGTATCGGTCTTCAAAATCCTTTATCGGTCGGGCTCTAGTCTGGACTAGATTGCTAGCATTCTATGTAAACAAATACTTCAACAGGAAGTAGAAAACCGTTTAGTCAGTTGAACCCGCTATGAATCATGGGAAATAGAACGGGCACAGAATAAGGTGGATTCCGAAGCATTAAATGACTTTTCACAGTGAAGTAACTCACCAATACCAGCAGGTAAACAGGCTCTGCACACTATCGCCCCTTTCACACAGTGCGCTGATCTCGGGAAATTGCCTTAAAATTGCTAGAGTGCCTTCTGTGTGAATCAATGCCGGGACCTAGTAACATTGCCGAGATCAGTCCCAGAATGCGTCCTGTGTGAACAAAAGGGATGACGCATGTCCCATCGCACCGGCATTTCCACAACCTATGTTCCTCTTCATGTAGAGATGACAGAAGCAGAACTGACATCTGACAGGAGTTATCACGTGTCTTTACAATATCTTTACAGGATGTCACAGATTCCAGAAAATCACTGGCAGAGTGAATGAACCAAAAATCAAACGATCCCGGGACAAATTATCCGGCATCTCTATGTGAAAGGGGCTTATGACACTTTTCCTTCATGCTTCAATGTGGTAGAAATGCATGAATTATTATATTTTTCAGCAGATGTTCGAAGACACCATGCAACCCGTACTTCATTGTGATTAATCACTCCACACATTTTCAATTTAAAGCGCGTTTAGCTATTTTGGGCATGGCCCAGGAGTGTATACTCCGATGGGTTATAGAAATTACAAGGAGAAGCATCAGGCCTACACTTAAATGACAGATCAAGCCCAAAACCCAGAACAAGCGAGTTACATGTGAAGCCAGATTGATGCACGCTTTCACACACACACTGAGAGACGTGCTAGCATTATTTCTTGCAGATGCTGCTAAGTTCGATTTTCTATTTACATTTGATATTAAACGTCAAAATGATCCAAATTTAATAAAAAAAATTAAAGGTATAAGGTATAATCAAAATTAAAGGTAATACTGTAGGTAAGTGTTGTTTTCTACTAAAATTGATTCAAATTATATTCAAAACAGGAAAAAACATCTGTCAGTCGGGTCACTTTATTTAAGTGCCGCTATTATGCTTTTTCGAATAAAAAAGTCGAAAGTGCACGATAAATAAAGTTACTGAAGGAAATATAGTAAATGCACAGGGAATGAGAATGTCTGAATCATCGGTGGACACCTGGAATGATCGTTTCTCCTGACGTGAGCAGTAAAAAGGCAAAAAAAAAAATCTTCTCTTCCAGTCCGAGAGATCGATTTACATGCTTACAGGAGCCCTGAGCAGCCCAGACCCCTTTATAGAACCAAGAGAGTCAAGCGAAAGTCAGCAAGGCCCTCTTGGTTCCTTATAAAAGCTCATAAAAGAATAGAGAGAAAACATTTATTCCAACAATTCCTTCAAATCCCACCTAATATGTTTTCACTGGCATAGATGCTTTGAGAGTTATGAAGTCCACTGGCATTCAATGACTTTATTAACTCGTTTGAATGTGTCCTCAACCGACCCACATCTGCTCTGCTAGAGAGATTATTAACCAATTACGGCGGAGCGAGTGTGCAGGGAATTCATTACTCAGAAAGTGATGATATCTGCAAAGACTGCAGGTGCATGAAATGATGCTCAGTCAGTCAGTGATCAGAGGCCAGAGCCGCAGGGCATGCAACAGCAGCTGAGTGAGGAAATATAGTCACCTGATGCGGAGAGGAGGCCTCGCCTGAGAACAGAGCGCTCAAATGCACAGCCTTCTCCTTTATGCTTTTTTTATGAAACTCCCTGGCCTTTTGAGTCTGGGCTTTCCTCTGAGTGAGGCCGGCAGAAAGAAAACAGCAAGAAAGGACAGGGCGAGATTAAAGATTGAGCCGGCGGTGAACAGGAAAATCAGTTGTTAGATTGCTGTCCTTTTTTTGCTTATAATTAGGGCTATCAATAGAATTGCGATTGATATTGGGTTTTATAATGCCGTTAACCTGATTAATCTGTTTGAGTGTGTTGAGATTTTCATTCAAACATACATATTTGTTCATACATTAAAGCGATAGTTCACTTTGAAATTAATTTTTGGTATTTTTTAGCTTACCTCAAGGGCATCCAAGATGTAGGTGTCTTTGTTTCCGCGGTAGTTTCAATTTTGATATTTTTAGGTCAAACCGTTCGTGTCTGTCAGTCATATAATGGAGGTCTATGGTCACCACCTCAAAGAGCATGCACAGAGAAGTACAAATTAAACATGATTTAATGACTCGTAAATGTAAGTACACATTGATGGCCTAAGACACGAAACGAGCGTTTGTGTGAGAAAACGAACAGTGTTTATATCGTTTTTACCTCTTGTAACCACAGCCACAAAGAGCCCGCGGCGTCAGATCACTTGGACGTGGCTGTGGTTACAAGAGGTAAAAACGATATAAACACTGTTCGTTTTCTCACACAAACGCTCGTTTCGTGTCTTAGGCCATCAATGTGTACTTACATTTACGAGTCAGTAAATCATGTTTAATTTGGACTTCTCTGTGCATGCTCTTTGAAGTGGTGACCATAGACCTCCATTATATGACAGACATGAACGGTTTGACCTAAAAATATCAAAATTGAAAGTACTTTGGAAACAAAGACACCTACATCTTGGATGCCCTTGAGGTAAGATCAAACATAGCAAAAATTAATTTCAAAGTGAACTATCCCTTTAATATAGGTTGGAAAATGACTATTCCGTTAGAAAAGAGCTAATAGTTAATAGTAACATTTAACACTTTTTCAATTATAGCCTTGTGATCATATTCATGATGACACAGCAAGGTGCTTATTAAAATAGAATTTAATTTCTATTTTTTCTTTTATATTTTTATTTTTTCTCTGTATAAGAAAAGTTCAATAAAAACATAGTTCAAAAATGTTATAAATGTCCTTTTTTCAATAATTAATTCTTGACTGTAAAAACATCATGGTAATAGGGTTGATATTTTAAGATCTGACAAACACAATTTTGTGTTTAAAATAAATAATGTCATTATGAACGGTATGTTATTTTAATAAGAGATGATAAGATCGAAAATCTGTGGAAACAACATTGTTAATTAAAATTAGCTTTTATGTCCATGCTAATGAGGGACAAACGTGGCACCCATTTTGGAGAATAACCCAACTGCATTACATTAATGCACAGATTAGATATAATATCTGAGCATGTTTAATTTATATAAAAAGTCGGCACTTAAACTACAGGAGCCCTGCTTATACTAATACACACATTAGATCAGAGAGAAGATGTTGGTGGGTCACCTGGCTAATCTCATCCTCCACCCTCTGGAGGCGCTGGAGCATTGCTGTCATGGCCAGCACTGCCGAGTGACCCGTGTTCTCTGCCTCTGAGTGTGTGTGAGTGTGTGTGTGAGTCGGGTGAAGCGGTTTCCTCTGTGGATTCAGAGGACTGGAATGAAGCGAGGGGAAGAGAGGAGCCGAGGGTGGAAACTGTGAACACACGGCACATGTGGGCAGCGCTGGATATAGACTGATGTACTGATAATACACAAACTTTTAGGGGAAATTAGTTTTAAAGAGGACCTATTCTGCTTTTTTACATGTTCAACTTCCTTTAGTGAGTAATGTTTCTGTTTGAACATGAAAAAATGTCAGCAAAGTTACAAGCGAAAAGTCAAAGGGAGTCATTCTCTATATTGGTGTCATTGTTTCTGAACTCCCAGAAACGCCTCCATTGTAGTCTTGAGTTTTCTTCCGGGAAACGAACACATCACAATATTCCTCATTTTAAATAATTCCATACGCCAAAATTAAAGGGGCGTGGCCTGGTTGATTGTGTGCTAGTGTGTTGTTGCCATGTTTTGGTAAGGGGAGTGACATTTCCCAAACATGCTTGAAGCAGTTGACCAATTGACCCTTCACAGGGAGCTTGATTGACAGGTGATCTGACCAATCATACTTCGTCATCCGCCATTTTGTCCGACAAAGCAGTCAGTAAAAAAATGTGTTTAAATTTCTTTAAAAATAAGACCAAATTTGGAAGGTGAGACTTTGTTTAATATCAAAAGTAACGAAAAGTAACCTGGTCTGTTCTGTCTGTCAGCGTGTTGTCAGTCCAATGAGAACATGGTGTGTGTGTGTGTGTGTGAGAGAGAGCAGCGCAGCTTGTCGGACATAGCGACAGTAACTAAGGGGGGCTTCATATAGACAGGAACGAAACAGGGGTGTGTTTTCCGTACAAATATGTCGCTCGCTGCTTCACTACAATAGTACGATGCATCGTTGGAGAAATCAACTAGCTAGTCACGACTGTTTCCAGAAACCCAATGTCGCAAAGTATCGTTCAACCACGTTGGTTTCGCACGCGGTGGAGTAATAACTGCTTTTAATGAAACTGTTTGAGATCTAATTAACGCTAGATTTGTTTTATATAAATTACAAACATGTCATCTGAGGACTATTTCTAATTGTTCTTATTGTTTTGCTTTATCACCAGACTCAATATTTGGCTCGTTCGTTAGCACGTTCGCACCTGCGCACTCTTCAAACACGTTACTTCAAATCTTTTGACAAACTAAAAGACGTAAATTCAATTTGTGTGTATTCTAAATAAAAGGCACCGGTTGTACTGAATGTCAGCTTGCTTATTTTGCTCAATATAAGGATTTATTACGTCCAAATGTCATGCAATATAGAAACTACGCCTCTAACAGGTCGAGAGCTGTCGTTCAAACCACACGACTTTGCGACGCTGTTTGCGAATGTTCGTTGGAACGATGCTTTCGGGAAACACCGACTCGTTGAACTATGCTGATAACGACAGAACTTGTGAACATATTTGGCTAACGATGCTTTCGGGAAGCGTTACTGACAGACTGGGAAGAGAGGGGCTGCAACAATGGACAATATGGGAAAAATTATGTTTTTTTAAATATTCAAGCATGAACGCCTATTTCAGTAGACCTCAAAAAACCCAAAGACTTTGTAAAAGAGCATAAAAGGTCCTCTTTAAAAGGTATAAAAGGTACTGAATGATACTTTTTTGGGGGGTGTAGACTAACTTTGGTTCTACCTGTTTTTTAGGGGGTGGGGGTGGAGGAACTTTCTTCCTGATAATGTTAAAGAAGGGGCTATCAGTCATATCAAGCGATGGAGGTCTTGGAGGCCTCTCGCCATCACAGTCAGACTGAGATCATTATACCAGGAGCAGTTTCAGAGAAAGGAAGCCAGGGTCAGAAGCACAGGAAGAAGAAAAGAGAAAGAAGAGATTAACTCGACTCCAGAGCCAAAGTTTGAGATCATTGTTTAAAAGAGTAGTTAACCCCAACATCTTTTATGTCGTTTAAAAAAATTGGGCTGCACAATATTGGATTTTTTCCCCTGTGATTAATGTGAAAACAATTTCACCGGATGACTTTAACTATTAACTTGCGCTAAATATCATTTCAATGTTTGTGAAAAAGAGCAAAGATTTTAGAGCAAATAAAATTTCAATAAACTGTGAGGCTGTAGACATGTTGGAATATATAGAAATCATTATGCTTTTAATATTTTAAAGGAGTAGTTCACTTTTAAAAAAAACCTTTTGCTGATAATTTACTCACCCCCATGTCATCCAAGATGTCCACGTCTTTCTTTCTTCAGTCGAAAGAAAATTAAGGTTTTTCATGAAAACATTAATCAATAAGGGTCTTATCTAGCGAAACGATCGGTCATTTCAAAAATAAATACAAAAGTTTACGTTTTATAAGCTCACAAAATGAACAAATCTTTTTTCAAGTCATTTCGTTCGTTGAATGAACCAAATGACTCGAAAAAAGATTTGTTCTTTTAGAACGAGTTTGAACAGGAGAGTCACGAAGGCGCATCACAGAACTGAGCAAGGCGAGCATTTGTGCTTATAAAACTTCAACTTTTTTATTTATTTTTGAAATGAGCGATCGTTTCGCTAGATAAGACCCTTATTCATCGTCTGGTGTCGTTTAAAGCCCTTTGAAGCTGCACTGAAACTCTCATTTGGACCTTGAACCGTTTGGTTCCCATTGAAGTCCATTATATGGTTTCTTTTCGACTGAAGAAAGAAAGACGTGGACATCCTGGATGACATGGGGGTGAGTAAATTATCAGCAAAAGTTTTTTTTTAAAGTGAACTACTCCTTTAATATCTTACCGCTTTATAGTTGCATTTAGCAGATTAGAGCTGGATGATAATACAGTACAACAATATAAGCAATCATGCATCAGAGATTTACTCTATTGTATATGCCGCTTTATGTGAGTTTAATGTAGTACAATGCATATCTTCAGCGGTCTTTACCTGTCTGCGAATAGAACAGCTTGCTGTGCTGTCCTCAAATTTTGCAAGAAGTTGAGTGGCCATAAACTTGACCTTGTTTTCCTTCAGTTCCCGTCCCTCACTGGATACAGAAGAACTCTGATTGAAGGATTTGGCTGTCTGGAAGAGAAATTGACCAATCAGAAATTAGTTACAGTTTCCCATGCCCGTAACCTCAGTTTAACATTACCATAAACTATCATACTGTCATACTGACCTCTTCTAAGTAACTGATTTTCCTTCTTCTCTTGTATATTGCATCATCGTCTTCAGACTTTTGTTCATTCTGAGAAGCACAGGAACAGTATATTATACTTTCAAGGCTGTTAGGATTGTGATTGTTCACATTTCATATCACATTTTTTATGCCTGATTAATTATAATTATAAAAATATATATATATATACTGTATATATATATATATATACAGTATATATATATATGTACGTACGTTTTGAAACAATAAGTTACATTTATAATTCAAACTTGTGGACTTTATTTTTTGCCAAATGGAATTAATTTATAAAACTTAAAAATTATATTATATATTATTAATTATATTATAATTATAATTATTATAATTATATTATATTATAATTAATTATTACATTATATTATAATTATATTATATTATATTATTATTAATTATTATATTATATTTAATTATTACATTATATTATAATTATATTATATTATATTATATATTATTTAATATGTATTATTATATATTATATATTTGGTAACACTTTACTTGAAGGGGTGTGCATAAGACTGACATGACACCTTCATAATCATCACACATGTCATGAATATGAAGGAGGATTTAAGCATGTATCTGTCATTAAGTGTCATTCGCTCAGTTATGACATTTTTAATGCAAATATGACATTGTTATGACACCTTGACATAAACCAATACATCATAACCTGTCAGTGTCTTTGTCATGACAACTTGACATTACTAAGACAACACAACCTGTCATTAAGCAGATTAATTATCAAACTTAAGAAACCACTTAGCTTTATGTTGTCATAAACATGCATAAAACCATATGTCATGATGTCATGATTATAAAGGTGTCACGTCAGTCTTATGCACTCCGCTTCAAGTAAAGTAGTACCAAATTTGTTAATTTCTGCAAATTTTAAACTTGATGGAATGAACAAAATAAAGTCCACCAAACACAAACCGTAAAAGTGCTTGAAATAGATCAAACCCATTGTACACTACCTTGGGTATGCGTTTACGAGGCTGATGTAAACTCAGGGACCTGTAAACGGGTCTGGAAGCTGTAGGACATGTTTCCTTATTTGCATCACCATCTCGCTTTGAATCTACAATAAACCACATGATAGAAATTTGCATGACATTTAACAATAAACAACTACAAGCATTGCAACCAAACTCGCATCTCTTTGTAAAATAAAAGCCTCATATTGAATGAGCCAACTGAATCAAACATGCTTCTGCCGTATCGCAGGTATGACATTTAACTTTATATAATGTGTCATATTTTTGGCGATGTGATGTGCAGATCTGTAGGGCGGAAACCTGCTCTCAGACAGACATGCATTCCTGGCATGACTGTGTGACTGAAGGAATTGTGTAACTCAAATGCACTAGTGCGAAAGGCCAGATACAATTCTCTTCTTTAGGGACTTTCCATGAAAGCACTGTATGAACACACCTTATGCAAACTCAAACTAGATGGAAGACGCGCTCAAAGTGGGTAAAGGGTTTTGGACCGGGGTAAAGGTTGTTTTACAATGTTTGAAGTGGAATACACACCTACTGTATAGGCTACAACACAGTATACATGACATATACTAGTATGCTAGATTGTTGTTATTACTAGGATATTGACTGTTTATTAGTACTTATAAGCACATATTAATGCTTTATTCTGTATGACCATATTCTACATCGTCAACTACCAGCAACTACCTTATTAATTATTAATAAGCAGTAATTAAGAATTTATTGAGGCAAAGTCATAGTTAATAGTGAGTGAATGGGGGAAATTGGACCCTAAACTAAAATGTGACCTATGCCTTTTCTTGTAAGCTTTTTGCTTTATCTGTGCATTTTTCTTTTTTGTATAGTAAGATGTAGCTGTAGCTTGCCTTTTTTCACAATAATTTTGTTAGAGAAATACCTCAAACAAGCAATAATGATAATAATGAGAAATCACCATATTAGAATGATTTCTGAAGGATAATGCGACGATGAAGACTGGAGAAATGATGCAGAAAATTATGTTTTGAACACAGGAATAAATTACTAGTGGTAGACCGATATATCGCCATGGCCAATATATCGGCCGATATTTGGCATTTATTAAAATGCCGATATTTGGCATTTTTTATAATATCGGCATCGGCTGATATTTGGCATTTTTAAAAATATCGCTATCGGCCAATATTTGGCATTTTATAAAATATCGGCATCGGACGATATTTGGCATTTTTAAAATATCGGCATCGGACGATATTTGGCATTTTAATATCGGCATCGGACGATATCTGGCATTTTTAAAATATCGGCATCGGACGATATTTGGCATTTTTAAAATATCGGCATCGGACGATATTTGGCATTGTTAAAATATCGGCATCGGACGATATTTGGCATTTTTAAAATATCGGCATCGGACGATATTTGGCATTTTTAAAATATCGGCATCGGACGATATTTGGCATTTTTTAAAATATCGGCATCGGACGATATTTGGCATTTTTAAAATATTGGCATCGGCCAATATTTGGCATTTTATAAAATATCGGCATTGGACGATATTTGACATTTTTTAAAATATCGGCATCGGCCAATATTTGGCATTTTATAAAATATCGGCATTGGACGATATTTGACATTTTTTAAAATATCGGCATCGGCCAATATTTGGCATTTTTTAAAATACCGGCATCGGACGATATTTGGCATTTTTAAAATATCGGCATCGGACGATATTTGGCATTTTTTAAAATATCGGCATCGGACGATATTTGCCATTTTTAAAATATCGGCATCGGCCAATATTTGGCATTTTTTAAAATATCGGCATCGGGCGATATTTGGTATTTTTTAAATAAACCGTTCTTGTCTGTCAGTCATATAATGGAGGTCTATGGTCACCACCTCAAAGAGCATGCACAGAGAAGTCTAAATTAAACATGATTTAATGACTCGTAAATGTAAGTACACATTGATGGCCTAAGACACGAAACGAGCGTTTGTGTGAGAAAACGAACAGTATTTATATCATTTTTACCTCTTGAAACCACAGCCACAAAGCGCCCGCGCCCTCAGATTACTTGGACGTGGCTGTGATTACAAGTGGTAAAAACGATATAAATACTGTTCGTTTTCTCACACAAACGCTTGTTTCGTGTCTTGGGCCATCAATGTGTACTACATTCACGAGTCATTAAATCATATTTAATTTGGACTTCTTTGTGCATGCTCTTAAAGGTGGTGACCATAGACCTGCATTATACGATTTGACCTAAAAATATCAAAATTGAAACTACTGCGGAAACAAAGACTGGAAATATGGAAATATATCAAAAATGTATTTCAATCGCTTTAATGGTAGTATGCAAGTATGCTATTCCAAACAAAGTCAGTGATCCTTAATGAACTGTAACGAAAGAGTTCACGACATACCTGAAGGAGGTAGAGGCGTTCCCCGGAAAAGCTCATAGAATTTGGAGAGGTATGTGCTCATGCTGGTCCTGTCCGGCTCCGGTCCTGACGCCAGCTCTTTCCCCGTGATGAACGGCTTGATACCAAACTCCTTCTCGGACACATCAAATGCCAGCTGAAGGTTTTTGGCACAGTCTTGCTCATTCAGAGAGTCGTAATCGCTACAGGAAACAATACGATAACAACAGAGAGCATGGGACCTGAATTAAACAAGCTGACCTCTTGACATGTGTGCTATGAAAGGACAATCGCAAGTTATGAAACTTCTCTGGTTTCCTTCATCTACTTTTGACAGACTTGAAAAATGGCTCCTGATAAAGTGTGTGAAATGTTGCACATGGTTCAAACTCTTTCTCAGCCAAGAACGCTCAAGTTTAAGTCACAGTTCTGAATAAGTAAGAAGATGTAAGTGGTTTCTCAAGAGGTCAAAGTGCATTTCACATGTCCGGCTCATGTTTAGACTTACACAGTAACTAACTGTGCAGAGGAAAACGCTAATAAACACACGAGAGTTGACTGGATCTGTTGCGAACACACTCAGGAAACAGACCAAATATTTATGAAATGAGCTTATGACGTAATTCCATTGCTTATGTGTTACACATTAGATGCACATTATCAAAGCGTCATGTAATCTACTGTTTTAGAAGGGACTGCCATTTTCATTCTTTATAATAGGCAATATTAACATATTTTAGTTATGTATTTTTTCTAGATATGGTAATATATTTTTTTTTGTGGATATAATACCATGGTAATACTATGGGTTTTCTTAGACTTGGTACCATGTTGAAGGAGTAGTTCACTTTTAAAAAACGTAATTTTTTTTTAAATTAGCGATCGTTTCACTTGATAACACCCTTATTCATTGTGTGAAATCGTTTAAAGTTCTTTGAACAGTTTGCAGTTTGCACTGAAAGTGTGATTTGGACCATGAACCATTTGGTTCCCATTGAAGTCCATTATATGGAGAAAAATCCTGGAATGTTTTCATCAAAAACCTTAATTTCTTTTCGACTGAAGAAAGAAAGACGTGGACATCTTGGATGACATGGGGGTGAGTAAATTATCAGCACACGTTTTTTTTTTTTAAAGTGAACCACTCCTTTAATGCCATGTACCATATTTATTTGTGCATGACACCATGTGTTGTACAGTATACAGTATATGTATTTTCGTTAACACTTTGCATGTAGTTACTATAGTAATTATGCATAATTACATGCACCTAACCCTATAGTAAGTACATGTTAATTATTATTACTTAGTACTTAAATGTATAATAACACTGTGACAAGGACACCTTAAAATAAACTGTGATTCTAGCGATCAGGATATTAGATACAGATTTTTAATTGTAAAAGATGATGACAGACGATGTAAAGAATCTCACATGATTTGCGGTCTGAAGTGATGAATGAGAGCACAGAGAGCCAGGCCACTGCTCCAACAGGAAGTGAGGTCAGTCACATTCACACCCCTGTAGCCCTGCGTCTGCTTCTGACACCACGTCAGTAACCGACTCGGCCTGATCTCAGACTCTGTTAAACACACAAACACAAGCAGAGGGAAATGTTATTTTGAAACTGATCAACACCAACAAATAACCAAGGGTTGATCTGGACTGAAAGTCGAGGTGAACTTGACTCATTAATCCTCTTACGCAACACACTAATGATTAATGTTTCACAGAAGTGTGTCACCCTGACAGCTAACAACTGTTTTTAGGAGCACAAAAGCCATGTGTCAGCAAACACAAGAGTTGAAATGATTTATTGTGATTGATTTCAGGAAGCATGAACGGAGACTAAAGAAATGTGATATTGCTGTTTTTGCCTCTTGTTCCATTTCCTCTTAAGAGACAAATTTAGCCAAGAAAAGAGGAAGTTGTGTATAAAACTCCATGCACAGTGCATTTTTTAATTGATGTACTGAACCACTTAAATGTTTGGAATAATTCACTTTTTTATGTTTTTGAAAGAAGTCTCTTCTGCTTACCATTTCAAAGGGCTTTAAACGACACCAGACGATGAATAAGGGTCTTATCAAGGACCCTTCGAACCATGACTCGAAAAAAGATTCGTTCATTTTGATGAACAGGAGAGTCACGAACGCTCATCATAGAACAGAGCAAGACGAGCATTTGTGCTTATAAAACTTAAAGTTTTTTATTTATTTTTTAAATGACTGATCGTTTCGCTTGATAAGACCCTTATTCATCGTCTGGAATCGTTTAAAGCCCTTTGAAGCTGCACTGAAACTCTCATTTTGACCTTGAACCGTTTGGTCCCCATTGAAGTCCATTATAAGGAGAAAAATCAAAAACCTTGATTTTTTTTCAACTGAAGAAAGAAAGATGTGGACATCTTGGATGACATGGGGGTGAGTAAATTATCAGCAAAAGTTTTTTTTTTTTTTAAAGTGAACTACTCCTTTAAGGCTGCATTTATTTGATCAAAGATAAAATAAAAACAGTATGGTGAAATATTATTATGATTTAAAATAACAGTTTTATGTTTAATATATTTTAAACTGTAATTTATTTCTGTGATGGCTAATCTGTATTTTCAGCATCATTACTCCAGTCTTCAGTGTCACATGACCCTTCAGAAATTATTCTAATATGCTGATTTGCTGCTCAAGAAACATTTCTGATTATTATCAATGTTGAAAACAGCTTTTGCTGTTTAAAGGAACAGTTCACCCAAAAATGTAAATTATCCTATAATTTTCTCACTCTCAAGCCATCTTAGGTGAATATGACTTTCTTATTCCAGCCAAACACAATCTGATATATATATATATATATATATATATATATATATATATATTCCCATATACAGTATATATATATATATATATATATATATATGAGATTTTGAAAACCAAAAACAAAAAGTAATCCATACGGCCATAAAGTGGATTAATAAATGCCTTCCGTAGAGAAGTGATGGGTTTTTGTAAGAAAAATATCCATATTAAAACTTTATAAACTATAATAACTGGCTTCCGGTAGAGTAGAGTTGAAGGGTGAACTCTGACCCGACGAATTAAAGTAGGCTACGTATGAAGTAGTAATAATGCATTCAATTAATAAAAATGATGAATGAATTAAAGGAACAGCATGGACATTCTTCAAAATGTCTAGTTTTAGGTTTCACAGAATATTTCACAAATTTGAAACAACATTGAGGTAAATAATGAATTTCCATTTTTTTTTTAGCGTTCCTGACGGCAGGAACTTGTTTAGGGTGATACTCTTCTCACTTGGGCTCTGCTTTGGCTCTGCTGATAATAACAAATTTCAGTCTGGATCGAATTCCTTCAGCAGAAATAAATTCTGCTTTCCCTGAACCTGCCACATGTTGGGAGGAGTGCAGTCGCTCTGCTGTTTTGAGATCGTTCCTAAAACAGGAGCTGGCTGTTACTGTATCTGCTGGATACAGGAATGCTGTAAACACGTCTGAGCTGCTCGCCTATTCTCAGTGTCCGTGATTATCATATGCAAGTCTCACCCCTCATATACAGCACTAGCCTGGCGGAAACTCTTGGGGAACTGGACGCTCCACTCAAAAGTAAAAGAGCAGAGGATAATTATAGACATGTGTTAGACTGATTAGAAGGATCTTCTGACCTCGCCTGGCCAAGTTGACAGGACGGCGTATCGTGGCGGCCCGTTCCAGAGAGCATGACTTCATCTCTCCACAGATATAGTTGTTGCGGACCTGCAAAGGAGAAAAATTAACAGAGATCATTTCAATGAGAGTAAATGATTCACATTAGATGAGCCATGTTAAACAAAACATGGTAAAATCGCTATAACACAGCGTCAATGAGGTTATTGCTTTCAAAAAACAGTGAAAATAGAAATGCCATCTCACCTGGTGTGGCCTCACACAGCTTGAATTAAGGTTTGGATAGCGTGTTGCTGGATCTATGGTGTACAAATCAAAGTTTTTGCCAATGTTTTCAGGCTTTGTCTGAGGTAGCAATCGGTACAGACTCTCCCTAGAAAAACAACGAAGCAACTACTATTAATGGTTTTATAAGTGCCTATTAAATTAATCTTGCTGATAATTTACTCACCCCCCATGTCTTCCAAGATGTCCATGTCTTTCTTTCTTCAGTCGAAAAGAAATTAAGGTTTTTGATGAAAACATTCCAGGATTTTTCTCCATATAATGGACTTCAATGGGAACCAAACGGTTCAAGGTCAAAATGAGAGTTTCAGTGCAACTTCAAAGGGCTTTAAACGACACCAGATGATGAATAAGGGTCTTAACTTTTTTCGAGTCATTTGGTTCATTCAACGAACGAAATTACTCGAAAAAAAGATTTGTTCATTTTGATGAACGAGTTCGAACAGGAGAGTCAACGAACGCTCATCACAGAACAGAGCAAGGCGACCATTTGTGCTTATAAAACTTTTTTTTTTTTTAAATGAGCGATCGTTTCGCTAGATAAGACCCTTATTCATCGCCTGGTGTCGTTTAAAGCCCTTTGAAGCTGCACTGAAACTCTCATTTGGACCTTGAACCGTTTGGTTCCCACACTCTTAGAAAAAAAGGTACAAAAGCTGTCACTGGGGCTGTACCTTTTCAAAATGTACACTTTTGTACCCAAAGGCTGCATATTGGTGCCTTAGTGGTACATTTTAGCACCTAAAATGGACATATTAGCACCTGAAATGTACATATTAACACCTAAAATGTTCATATTACCACCTAAAATGGACATATAACACCTAAAATGTTCATATTAGCTCCTGAAATGTACATATTAGCACTTAAAATGTACATATTAGGACCTAAAATGGACATATTAGCTCCTGAAATGTACATATTAACACTTAAAATGTACTTATTAGCAGCTAAAATGTACATATTAACCCCTAAAATGTACTTATTAGCAGCTAAAATGTACATATTAACCCCTAAAATGCACACATTAGCACCTGAAAAGTACATATTTGCACCTAAAATGGACAAAAGTTTACCTTTTGAAAAGGTACAGCCCCAGTGACAGCTTTTGTACCTTTTTTTCTGAGAGTGCAAGTCCATTATATGGAGAAAATCCTGGAATGTTATTAATTTCTTTTCGACTGAAGAAAGAAAGACATGGACATCTAGGATGACATGGGGGTGAGTAAATTATCAGCAAAAGTTTTATGACCTTCACTGACCTCTCTGCCAGCACCTCGAGTGGATTACTACCCTGCGCCCAACTTTTTACCATCCAAGCCGTGTCAAAGGCTGCCAGGAACCCGCGGGCACAGCCTGTCCCCATAGGCCAGAAGGGCTACAATTACACAACCACAAACACATCAGAATCTAACATAATAATCATACACATCAAGCACAAAAAAGATGATGCACAGTAGTGTAATCTCCTCACCTCGAGAAGGCTGTCTCCCACCAGTGCCACCAGTACACTATGACCAAACCTCTCCCTGACCAGAGCAGCGTTTTCTGAGGCGTACATGCTGGTGAAGTCAAACATGGCCACATCAGGCTGCCCGCAGTGGTTGATGGCGTAGTCCAGCGTGGGCAGCTGGTAGTGTGTGGCGTAGTCGGCTGCCTCTCGAGCATACGCCAGCAAAGCCTCTTGATTCACATTCTCACTGTTCAGCAACGCCTCAGTGTCGATGTAATCCTGGCGAATACACAAAATGAGGTTACTACACCAAACACAATGTGTAATAGCTCAATAGTGCTATAAAGTCAACATGAAACGACATTTATGGTGCATTTTACTTCTGACGCATGCAGTATTCTGAGAAAAACATCATTATGAAATATGAATTAAATCCTGAAAAGTGATTGTTTCATGCAACAATATAAAACAATAGAGACTGAAAGAGTTTACAGTTCTGAAGCACACGTGTAACATGACAGGCCTTTTTTTTCATGGATCTATTTTTCAAAATAAATTAAAATGTATGCAAGATTTAAGCCCCTCGATACAAGGATTACATTTGTGCGTCATAATCTACTTATTATGTATTTTTTTAAAGAAAAATTAAGCATTGAAGCAGTTTTGTAAAAATAATTTTGAGTCTTGTCGTGTGACCAACATGCATTTACATTTATTTTCAAAGTCACTAGGTCTTACAATATTAGATAAAGGTTCAGGTTGGAAAATTACTCATTTCAGTTCAGGCTGTAAAATGTCCAATTAAATTTGATAAATTTAATTGTAAAATTGAGGTACAAAACCCTCAAAAAGTATAGATGTGTTGATGTATTATATTTATATATAGATATATAGTACATCTATGCTATCTAACCGCATCTAAATGCAGTTGATGCCAAACTAAACCACTAAATCCAATCAAATTAACAAACATTGAACCACTCAAACAAAAGAATTAGTAAAAAAAATGTAAAGAAAAAATAGAAAAAAATTAGATAAATAAAATTAGAAAAAAATATTATATTCTCTTATAATATTATTATATAAAATATTCTCCCATTTTTGACAGAGTACAGGCAACATTATCTGGCAACATGTTTTTAACAATGTTGCTGACATAAACATTACAAACAAGATTCGGAGAATGAATTTCATCTACAAATAAATTACAGGAAGATGGACAAACATTTAAATCTATTCCCGCTGTGGTGTTTCTTGTTTGTCATCCCTAGTTTGAAAAATATGCAAAAATTTAAACTTTTATCGGGTCTGTCTCGAAATAGACTTTTTCTATTTTAAAAATGAATCCATGCACACTGTAAAAATGAATATGCTTTATCTAATCAAAAAAAATGTGGCAACAGATAACAAGCAATATTATTAGTTAAATTTAACAAATTAGAATTGAGTAATAATTAATCAAATTAATTCCTTAAAAGAAAGTTAACCATTTAAAATGAGTAAAATTTACAACAACAACCCAAAAAACATAAATTGAAGTCACCATTATGGAGATCGCTGTTTGTTTTAAAATGACGGTTTTCTCCTTCTGTGATTCTGCTTGTTAACGTCAGGTGTCTTCAATGTTGGCAATATAAAATAAAGAGTTTTTAATTAATCTTTGACATCTGTTAGTGAGATATTTTTGTTAAATGTTTTGGTGTAATGTTTTGCTTGTAATCTGTTGCCACAAGTCTATTGATTAGATGAAGCATATTCATTTTTACAGTGCATGTTGGGTTGGGGTAAGAAGCGATTGGGGTCGATTCGGGTCGAGTCCAGAATTCAGGACCAGAGACACACTCAGTTCTAGCACTGTTGACTCAGTGTATTCATAAATCAGATCAGCACGGACTGTGCCAACACTTTGTGACTGTGCTTCTTTCCCAGATAAATATGTGTTATGTTTCCATTAAAAAAGTGTGCTAGTTTAACTTTGAACATCGAATAAAACATTTGCAAATAAAAAACTGTTTCCATCCCATGTGTTCAAGAGAACAAAATCGTCACTTCGAGGGAAACTAGCGGCAAAATATATGTTGCTGCAATTGGGAAAGAAACTGTGGCTCTTTTATTCATACATCATAAACAACTTTACTTGAGCAACCGATGAGACGCAATAAACCGATCATATTATCTTGAGTTCAGAGGCACAATTCTGTGTGGTCATTATACCCAACAATTTTGATGACAGACATTGGCTCAGGCCTTTCAGAAAGACCAAACCAATATTTGTGATGATGGTCCACCAGTTAGTCCAGTTATCCAATCACATCCTCTGCTGAGGCTATATACTATATAAAGTACTTTTACTATATAAAAGTAGTTCACTTTTATATAAACTTTTGCTGATAATTTACTCACCCCCATGTCATCCAAGATATCCATGTCTTTCTTTCTTCAGTCGAAAAGAAATTAAGGTTTTTGATGAAAACATTCCAGGATTTTTCTCCATATAATGCACTTCAAAGGTTCATTCAACGAACGAAATTACTCGAAAAAAGATTAGTTCATTTTGATTCAACTTCATGAGTCAATTTGTTCGTTTCGTTCGTTGAATGAACAAAAGATTCGTTCATTTTGATGAACGAGTTCGAACAGGAGAGTCACAAACGTGCGTCTCAGAACAGAGCAAAGCGAGCATTTGAGCTTATAAAATTTAAACTTTGATATTTATTTTTTAAATGAGCGATCGTTTCGCTTGATAAGACCCTTATTCATCGTCTGGAATCCTTTAAAGCCCTTTGAACAGTTTGCAGTTTGTACTGAAAGTGTCTTTTGGACCTTGGACCGTTTGGTTCCCATTGAAGTCCATTATATGGAGAAAATTCTGAAATATTTTCATCAAAAACCTTAATTTCTTTTCGACTGAAGAAAGAATGGCATGGACAAGAATGGTTTAAACTACTCCTTTAAGGGATTTATTCAGTAAATCTGTCTCCATATTCCTATGGGATTAATATGATCCGCCTCAATTGAGCGCATACGTTTTTAAAGCACATTTATTGTGTTTCTATCCAGCGTTTTTAATGCGATATCCCAATATTTGCATAAAACTAGATGGATGAAAACATAGCTATTAAAACGTGCCAAACTCACATGAATGATGACCCCCTTGTCCAGCAGGCTCTGCTTCTTAGCCGTCATGACAAAGTAGTGTGTGTTGTCTTTGTAGTAAACGATGTTCTCAAGATCAATCCCTGCGAAAGAGACAAAATCGTGATCTTACTGAACATGAATCTGTGTCATAGACTTTTGCCTGTAATATGACAGTGCTTTGAGGTCAGTGTGAGTTTAAGACAGGATTTTAAAGGAATTCAGTTTCAAAGGGGTGCGAGTCACGACAGGTACACAAAGCATCCGTATGTTTTTGGAGGGAGGAAGCCCATAATCCCCTGGAAGATAAACATTTACGTGACAAATCAGAGCAAGAGGATGATAAGTGATATATGGGCGCTCCTCACAGCAGATAACACTGACACGCTAACGGAAAACATTGCGGGAAATACCAGGATGAGGTGAAAGTTCATTGGGAGATATGTCTTTATAATCCATGGAGCTCAATGCCTAGTTCAGAGTAAAATGCTGTATTTTTAGTAGGGCTGGGTATTGACACAAATTTCACAATTCGATTCGATTTCGATTCACAAGCTTGCAATTCGATTCGATTTTGATTCCGATTTGATTCAATATTGATTATTTTGGCTATCAGTTACAATAAATGGCAAATTTTCTCAAGGAAATCAAATGCTGTAAACTATGGGAGTCTAGTTGTAGCCTATAGGCTTCGTTAGCCTAATATGAAGGTAATAATGAACTGTTTTGTAGCTATACAAACACTTAAATTACACTTTTATTTATTTTTATAATAAAAAGATTATATGAAATACAAACATTTAAATGGTGGCTGTCATAAAAACTTGCCGGATTTATTCAAATATGCATTAAATATTGAAGAACATTTAAGATTATAATGCATATGTAATATGGTGTATATATTTAGCAAAATGGTCCTCTCTGGAGTTATTTTTTCTAGCTGACTAACGAGATGATGTGGGTTTTCTGAGGTAAATATGACGATGACATTGATTACAAGCTGTTGACGTCTTTCCACGGTTGAAACGCTGATTGAGCGAATCAATGTGACATGATACGGATTTCGATAAGTTGAACTCTATCTTTTAACACACTTTCAGATGCTCGTTCATGTTTATTTCGCGCTGTAACTGGTATTATTAACCCGGAAGCGAGATCAGCGCTGCTGCTTCTCCAGAGCGATCTCACGCCACAGCGCCAAAACCTTATTTATGTTTTTGAATTTCTAAAGAAAATGGACGTAATTTGAAAATTGAGACTTTGTTTCATATCAATATTAACAAAGGACGAAGATTATTGCGATTTTCCATTAATTCAAATGAAACAGGATGACTAATCGATTCTTGAGATTTAAGAATCGATATCGGTTCGTAAAAATGAGAATCGATTAATAGCGAGAAATCGATATTTATTACCCAGCCCTAATTTTTAGTGCTTGATGTGTCATTTTTTGCTCACCGGTTTCCTGTTTGAGATCTTGAAAGAATTTCTGGTTGAAGATGAAGGCAACTCCACTTATCTCCTCAACCTTTGCCTCAGCTGTGGTGTTTCTGTTGATGAAGTTTGCCGTGATGGCGATGGCCAGTTTGCCACGAAACTCCTTCCTCCTGAACCCTGAGAATGAGAGGAAGGAAAAAGTGAGGTTCTGGTGTGTCTCCAACAATGTTGCAAAATTTCTAAAGCAATATTATTCCTGTTTGACAGAGGTCCACTAATGAAGAGGAAATATGCCAGTATCACAAGCCCATTATTTTAGGCTCAAAGACACTCAATCTAACCAACTACAATGAGACAGGTTTCCAGGGACAAAAAGTTTGCCTGTCCATACCAAATACTGCCCAGATATTTGAGGGTTTAAAAGACTATTTATATTCTGCAATATTCTTGATTTTACTGCACTGACGCTAACTGAACTGAATCGAATCAACACTGAAAACTGACTTGAGCTTTATTGCTGAAATCCAATTTGTTTTATGATTGATTGAACATTATCCATGTAATTTTCCTGTTTTTCTAAAGTAAAGCTGCTTTGAAAGTTCTACTGTATATAAATAAATGTGATTTGGCTTGACAAGGGTTATTATTAGGGCTGTCAAATGATTAATCACATCCAAAATAAAAGTTTGTGTTTACATAATATATGTGGGTGCACTGTGTATAATTATTATATATATATAAATACACACACATGCTTGTATATACTTAAGAAATATTTTCATGTATATACTGTACATAGATTTATATATAATTTATATTATATATAAATATAAATATTTTTTTTTTCATGTGTGTGTATTTATATATTTACAAAATAATTATACACAGTGCACCCACATATATTATGTAAACACAAACTTTTATTTTGGATGCGATTAATCGCGATTAATCATTTGACAGCCCTAGATATAATCAGTTACTAAACCAAAAACTAAAACCATACTGTAAAAAAACATAATTACATAAGTAACTTAAATAAACAATAACTGAAAATAAAATGCAAAAACCTAAAGTTGAACTGATTTATTTCAGCTAGCTCGACATTTCTTATTTTTTACTTTAAGTTAAAGTACTAAAATAACTAAAGCTAAATAAACTAAAACTATTAGTTAATAAAAAAAAATGGCATATCAACAAATGAAATTACTCAACATTTTAACTAAAATTAAAACAAAAAAATATGACACAATTGAAATCTATTTCATCATAAATATAACAGTGTATCAATAACACTGGATTTGACATGAATATATTTGCTGTTTAATGAACAGCAGAATTTTGGACCAATGAGATTTCACAGAAACCGTAGCCCTGCCCACACGAATGCAATGTTTTCTTTACATTTTGAGCTCTCTCCACACATTTTTGAAAACACTTTCCAAAAGTGAGGACAGCACTTTCGGCGACATCATGAACAATTAAAATTTTCGAGTGAACTATCCTTTTAATCATTACACCACTATATGGCAGAGTCTGGGAAGTAAATCTCTCCGTCTGCAAATCCCTATAACATTCAACGGAGTGATTTCTTTAGACACTGTTGGCGTGCAGAAACAAAATGGAAGGCAAAAACTGCACATGAGGACAATCCCACAAGATCAACAAACTCTTTTGTTATTCAGCACTCAGATAGCTTTCAATAAAAGTGCCTTGTTAGGAAGCGCTGTACCTGCTTTCGATTTCGTCAATCCTTTAAGATCATTACAAATCACACTGTACGACATAGATCTTATAAACTTGGGTACGACATGAATGTAAACCCTATGATGATGACACCAATTGAATCGTAGGATACAAAGCAAGTCAAAAACGAACGAATCTCATCAAAATGAACGAATCTTTTCCAAAATCAACTTCGTTGAATGAACCAAATGACACGAAAAAAAGATTTCGAACAGGAGAGTCCCGAACGTGCATCACAGAACAGAGCAAGCCGACCATTTGAGCTTATAAAACTAAAACTTTGTTTTTTTTTTTTTAAATGAGCGATCGTTTCGCTTAATAAGACCCTTATTCATCATCTGGTGTCGTTTAAAGCCCTTTGAAGCTGCACTGAAACTCTCATTTGGACCTTGAACCGTAGCAGCAAAAGTAAAGTGAACTACTCCTTTAAGCTTATAATTTTGTTTTAAAAATATAATTATGTAATTAAAAGTTGCAGAATGGATTCATTTGGAGACTTTAAAATTGGCAGAGATAGGCAGGCAATGTCAAACTAAATCTTACAAGTTATTGCTTAGCTTCAACAGCACTAGTCTGTATTTTTTCCCTCCGGTCTCGGCTTGGTCTTGGTCTTGATACCCTCTGGTCTTGGTCTCGGTTTGACTACAAGTCTAGAGATGATCATGCTAAATTTCTGACAGTCAAAATTATTGCAGGCTATCTTTGGTCGCAAGGCCGAGACGAAGGCCTCATTTGAACCTCTCACTGAATGACGTAGAGCCACAACCACAGAAATCGTCACGATTGGGCATTCGATGCTCAGTTATGAAAGAAGAAGGAACTTAAAGTGGCTTTTAATTAGAACTAAACACTAATGGCAAATAAGTCCAGGCAAACTTTACAAAAATGGCACAAGCTGTTCATTTCCATAGATGTTGAGTGGGTTGACTTGGCTGAAGTTTCTCAATCCTGCACACATTTGATAAAGAGCCAGAACTGCTCTATTACTGTCATGATGTTAACTTGCTAAGACATCAACTCTCCTCTTCATCATCATCTGTAGCTGTTTTCGTCTGACCGCTGCTCTGCCTCAGATTGGGATAAATTTAACATTCCCTAGATGTCCTGAAGTAGCTCACGTAATGTCCAAAACAAGCTTGGGCTCTTTTTCCCTAAGGTTACTCATAATTGGGCAATGAGCTAACATCTCGTAGTTTGGAGGGCCCCACAAATGCCCTTTTTTGGAAAAAGCATCTGATTAGGGATAAGCGCAAAGATGACGAACCTGGAAAACAGAGTCCAACGGACACACATCATCAACTGAAACGTGTTCAAAAACCCTGAGAGCTCCTCGAGAGCACATGCTGATTCGCTGAACTCATTTGTAACCGGTGGGCGGCTGGTGACATCATGCAGTATCGCTTTTCACAGCACAACTCGATTTTATGGCTTGGATGAAACAATTCTCAGGACTTCAGCCAAGAGCTCAGGACAAATTTTAAGAGTGGCTGAGATAGGAGAAGCGTAACAACGAGAGGTTTTGGGTTATATCAGAAGAAGCTGTTTAAAGGAGTAGTTCACTTTAAAAAAAAAAAAAACGTTTGCTGATAATTTACTCACCCCCATGTCATCCAAGATGTCCATGTCTTTCTTTCTTCAGTCGAAAATAAATTAAGGTTTTTGATGAAAACATTCCAGGATTTTTCTCCATATAATGGACTTCAATGGGAACCAAACGGTTCAAGGTCCAAAAGACAGTTTCAGTGCAAACTGTTCAAAGGGCTTTAAACGATTCCAGACGATGAATAAGGGTCTTATCAAGCGAAACGATCGCTCACTTAATAAATAAATAACAAAATTTAAGTTTTATAAGCTCAAATGGTCGCCTTGCTCTGTTCTGCGATGCGCGTTCGTGACTCTCCTGTTTGAACTCGTTCATCAAAATGAACTAATCTTTTTCAATTGGTTCGTTTCGTTCGTTGAATGAACCAAATGACTCGGAAAAAGATTTAAGCTTATAAAACGTAAACTTTGTTATTTATTTATTAAATGAGCGATCGTTTCACTAGATAAGACCCTTATTCATCGTCTGGAATCGTTTAAAGTCCTTTGAACAGTTTGCAGTTTGCACTGAAACTCTCATTTGGACCTTGAACCGTTTGGTTCCCATTGAAGTCCATTTTATGGAGAAAAATGCTGGAATGTTTTCATCAAAAACCTTAATGTCTTTTCGACTGAAGAAAGAAAGACATGGACATCTTGGATGACATGGGGGTGAGTAAATTAGCAGCAAAAGTTTTTTTAAAAGTGAACTACTCCTTTAAGGCTAAGGCTAGCACCAGTTTTGCTTGTATTTAGCATTAGATATTTGAAAAAAAGTTAAACTTTGGTATGTAATCCATTTGATGGATACCTCAAATTGTGTGACTTGAGTGTGCTATTGCATATGACATGCTATTTTAATGTACATGCTCTCATATTTTAGGTAGGTACAAATTTAGTTACTGCTAGAACAGTTTGCAATCATAGAGCAATGATTATTATAGCCTCTTAGTTACTGTGCAAACAGAGAGGGCTGCATGTGTATTTATTTTAGTGGACATAATATATGTAATTCAGTATTTCAATTCTGGACTGTTTTTTAATGGCGACTGAGCAGCAATTCCATCATCCTCAGTCATCCGAGTTCATACCTTCTAAAGAGTTTCGTCTCCCATCGGCTCCCACCACCACATCAAAGTCGAAGTCGGCCACGGGATGATCCGCAGGCCGGATCTCCGCCCTCCAGCCCGGCCCTGCAGAAACACACACATTCAGCCTGAGAAATACAAACGACAAATCACAAATGAAGCTGTCCTTAAAGGAGAAGTTCACTTAAAAAGGAAAATTAGCCCATGATTTATGGTGTGTTCACATGCTATGGTAATTATGGTAAAGCCAACGTGGAAAATGCACATGAACACCCACTGGGTAGCTTGTAGAATATTTTGATGCACGAGTTGCCGAGATGAGATAACCTTTGACCTTTTCAAAATGGTGGAGAGCAACGCGAGAGTCGTGCATGGTAAAAATAGGTACTATTCATGATCTAGAAAATATACAGCATATTATTTAGCGTTTGAGTTTTGATAAATCATTTTCTTGCTGTAGCAGATAACTTAAGCAATCTAAAATAGTTTTTCGAGTCAATTTGTTCGTTTCGTTCGTTGAATGAACCAAAAGACTCGGAAAAAGATTCGTTCATTTTGATGAACAAGTTCGAACAGGAGAGTCACGAACGCGAATCACAGAACAGAGCAATGCGAGCATTTGTGCATATAAAACTTAAAGTTTTTTTTTTTTTTTTTTAAATGACTGATCGTTTCGCTTGATAAGACCCTTATTCAGCACTTGGTGTCGTTTAAAGCCCTTTGAAGCTGCACTGAAACTCTCATTTGGACCTTGAACCGTTTGGTTCCCATTGAAGTCCATTATATGGAGAAAAATCCTGGAATGTTTTCATCAAAAACCTTAATTTCTTTTCGACTGAAGAAAGAAAGATGTGTACATCTTGGATGACATGGGGGGTGAGTAAATTATCAGCACAAGTTTTCTTTTAAAGTGAACTACTCCTTTAAAAATGATTTTTTTTCTTATCACATCGCTTCAGAAGGTCTTTATTAAACCCCCGGAGCCATGAGGAGCGCTTTTATGATGGATAGAAGCACTTTTTGAGCTTCAATCTGATGGTTGCAATCCACTGCCATTATAAAGCTCAGAAGCGTCAGGGAGTTTATTAATATAACTCACATTGTATTCGTCTGAAAGAAGAAAGTCATATACACCCAGGATGGCTTAATAATAAATTAAATCATGGGCTAATTTTCATTTTAAAGTGAACTACTCCTTTAATCTCCCCTAATTAATTCCTATAGTGCAATGAGCTCAAATGAAGAGCAACGTGTCACGCTTTTCAGATGTTTCCACTAAGAAAACGAACCAATATAATCTCCACGTTTCAGAAGAGTCATTCAGCAAAAGTCTGAATCTTAAAGGGATACTCCACTTTTTTTTGGAAATAGGCTCATTTTACCACTCCCCCAGAGTTAAACAGTTGAGTTTTACCGTTTTCGAATCCATTCAGCCATTTTTTTTTATATTTAGAAGAAGAATATCAGTAACCAGACAGTTTCTGGTCTCATTGACTTCCATAGTATTTTTTTTCCTACAATGGAAGTCAATGAGACCAAAAACTGGTTACTGATATTCTTCTAAATATCAGAAAATCGGCTAAATGGATTTGAAAATGGTAAAACTCAACTTTTTAACTCTGGGGGAGTGGTAAAATGAGCCTATTTCCAAAAAAAAGTGGAGTATCCCTTTAAACATGAACTCAAACATTTTTCTATCTACAGTATATACTGTATTCTCTTATTTCACCCAAAGAACTTTAGAAGAAGCATCTCAGAGTTGATACAAATCTGGGAAGTCTCCCAAGCTGTGAAAGAGAAACATCTGAGCAATATTTTCTCCTCAGGGGAGGACAGGAGCTGGGTGGAGCAACAGTACAATAAATACAAATATGAAAATATTTCAAAACACTTTATCCAAGTTCACATCTGAGGGACCGTTTCTCGCTCGTTGTTTTAAATAAAAAATAATCTGCTAAATGGAAACAGCTACATATTTCAACAAGCCTAGCCAATGTTTTTCATGTAAGCATTATGTAATCTTGCCTTAAACACTATGCATTCCAACAACATATAGTCACAGCCAGGCATTCAGCTATTATTAATAAAAGCCAACCATAAATGTCACATGTTCGGAGTACAACTTAAGGGCAAATAAACCAGAATACAAGATCCAACTGAACTGCATCCAGGATCATGGCCCAGCAAGCACTCGTTCTTAATTTAGAAAGCTCTTTTGTTTTTATCAGCGTGCTGTCATTGCTTCTGAAGGGAGAGAGATGGATTGCTAATGGGCTAGAAGTTTAGAGGTCCAATCACAAGCTTGTTGTTCTTCCATAGAGGACCAAAGTGCCCACATATGGAAACATATGCGCTCACAAAAGCCCTGGACCGATGAGAACTGTTTCCAATTACCAAAATCAACTAATTGTTTCTTCATTTCTCTGATCTCTGTGTCGTTAAACGAGAGTGTGTTATGAGTGAAGCTGCGGTGGATGCGAGAGGGGCGAGTGATGTGGATTTGAACACTTTTCCATGGGCATTAAAATTGCATTAACAGCTCTGCAGGTGTTGTTTGGTTGTCATGGAAACGGTTATTATATTGCGGCAGGAAGAATCTTCCTGGTAATGACAGATTGGCCCTAAAAACCGTAAACCGATCTGAAGAAAATGCTGTAATGCAGAGAGACAACAAAATCAAAAGAGCCAGAATACATCAACGTTTCAATATGAAGCTTAAACTGTGGGATATAAAAATGATTACATCAAAGTAATGGTATTTTCAGGGTAGAAACAGGCTTTTTTGCTTATTCAACAAATTAGAAAGCAGACAGGGACTGATCAGTGAAAAGTTTGGACATGCTTGACTATTGTCTTATGCTTAAATGTTTAATTTTAGAGCATTTTCAGATCGTTTGCTTCGTTCTGAAACAGGGACTTAATTCGTTACAATGTTGCATTTCCTTTTCACAAGGCATAAGACAATAGTCAAGCATGTCCAAACTTTTCACCGGTGTTATAAATGCACTGACTGTTCAGTCTCTTTCTGCTTTCTAATTTGTTGAATAACCAAATAAGCCTGTTTCTACCCTGAAAATACCATTACTTTGATGTAATCATTTTCAAAGCGTACCGAAATGTGTTCATGCGAGTCACATGTGAGGAAAACCTGTCCTCTTATTTGTCCGAGTTTCCTCTGCGTCATCCATCAAGACAGATTGACAAATCTGCCAAAGAGCTTATAGACTTTATCTTTAGTCTTATTTGAATGTAGCCGTCATTCATGCTCTAACTGATAAATTATATATATTTAATTATATTTAAAATAATATATTGATAGTGGCTCCCTGACATGCAAGATAAATTACCCAACTATATAAAAGCATTAAAATATACTTCCATCTCATACTTTTTTCAATCACCATGTCCCTTTAGGTGCTCTGTAGAATGCATCATTTCCTTTCTGAATATAGTATTCGGCTTTGGGCACATCCCTATTATACTGTATATACAGTGATGTGAATAAGTTTGGATACCCATGCTAAAGTTGCCTAAAAAGAGGAATAAAAAATCATATTTTGGATATTGATCTTAATGCCTTAATTAGAAAAATGAGGAAAACTCCAACCTTTAAGGACACCAATTTTCCTTGTGAATGAATAATGTATCATAAATAAATAAATGTTTTTCCTTAAAATACAGGGTGCATAAGGCAGATTTTTATTTTTAAAAGCCAGTTATTTCATGGAACCAGGATAATATGCATCCTGATAAAGTTCCCTTGACCTTTGGAATTAAAATATCCCCACATCATCACACACCTTCCACCATGCCTAGAGATTGGCATGGGGTACTTTCCATAAGATCATCTTTCAATGCAAATCAAACCAGCTATTAGGCTAACTGAAGTAAAACCATGCCAATATTTAATTCCAAAGGTCAAGGGAACTTTATCAGGATGCATATTATCCTGGATCCATGAAATAACTGGCTTTTAAAAATAAAAATCTGCCTGACTCTATGGGAATTTAACATAGGGGTGTCCTGACTTATGCACCCTGTATTTTAAGGAAAAACATTTATTTATTTTTTTATTTATGAGACATTATTCATTCACAAAGAAAATTGGTGTCCTTAAAAGGTTTGATTTTTCCAATTTTTTTTAATTAAGCCATTAAGATCAATATCCAAAAGATGATTTTTATTCCTCTTTTTAGGCAACTTTAGCATGGGTGTCCTAACTTATTCACATCACTGTATATGAAGAGTTCAGATGCAAAAGCCTCTAAGTGCCATTTGAAATTTTCTTCTAGAATGATCATTTTTATCAAGCTTGTATATTTAAGTTCAGTAATTTCACTTAAATTACAATTAATAGGTAAACTTCATTGCAATTTAAGTGAAATTACTGAGCTTAAATATACAAGCTTGATAAAAAAATATCATTCTAGAAGAAAATTTCAAATGGCACTTGGAGGCTTTTGCATCTGAACTCTTCATATATATATATACGGTATACATACAGTACATTAGTGCTGTCAAAATTAACACATTTTTTCCGTTTAACGTGTTAATATATGTGTCATAATGTATGTATGTATGTATATAGACACTGAAGAAGCTAAAACATGAAATAGTTTTGTTAAAACATTTCTTGATCGCTGTATAATTCCCATACTTCCATTCGTGTTATTTTATAGTTTCGATGACTTTTCTAGAATGTGTGAAGCAGCAGTCACAAACAATGAGAAGGGTGTGTCCAAACTTGAGCGACTGACTGCTAGTCGTCTGGGGTCCTCAGTCTCACCCTCATTCTCCTGGTCCTCTGGAGGCTCCACCAGCTTGACGAACTCCACATTAACGTGAAACTCCACACCAAGAAGCAGAGCAATCTTCAGGAGCATGAGCTGGAGCTGCCGAATGCCTGCCAAACCCAGCCAGAGCAAGAACCATTAGCCTCACAGTCACGCTAACACGGCATCGCTTGCAAAAACACCAACCAGTAAAACTAACAGATGTGAGAACAGAAATATCATCATCGGAGTGGCAGGAGAGTCATCCAAAAATGAACTTTCTATCATCGTCTCTGTTCCATACAGTGAAAATGGATTATGACCGGGGCTGTCAAAGTCTTAAAAGAACAAAAAGCAACATAAAAGTATTTCATATGACTTATGTCCTATATTACGAATCCTGAAAAGCCATTCGATAGCTTTGCATGAGGCCAAACTGAAATTTAAGACTTGACAACCACTGGTCATCATCCACTTTCACTGTATGGACATTCTTCTCTTCTTTTGCATTTTAGAAAAAGAAAAATATATATTTTGCATTTGAGTGACAGTGCAAATGAGTATATTGATGAAATATGTTAAATATGCTTGATAAAAACCATGCTCATACATTTTAAATATTACTATTTAGGTTTAATGTATTTTTATTTAACTATTGTTTAAATTTAACTACAATAACCTTGCGGAGTTGTTCTTCAAATCATCAACCTATTAGGATTAAACAGTATAGATGTTATTTCTCTGTAATTCACTTTCCACAATAGTCTCATATCCTGCATGTGTACTGTAGATAAAGGAAGGGCGGTCAAAAAATGAAAAGGAGAACTAAAAATGACTTCTGCTTTAAACAAGGAAGGTTTGATAGGTTGCTTATAATTTGTTTAAATGAGCATGGAGAGTGAGAAGTTGGTTCAGAACTCACTGATGTGGTCTATCGCTCCAGCACAGAACTTTCCGTAGAACTTCTTGGCCCCTAAGCCCCTGAGGTCATGAATGGTGTAGGGCCAGAGATGCAGGACGTTGTTCCTGGAGAATGTATCTCTCTTCTCGATCACCACCACTTTGGCTCCGAGGAGAGCTAACTCGATGGCAGTCCGCACGCCGCACGGGCCCCCTCCAATTATCAAGCACTGAAAGTTACATTTAGAGATTGAGAGAATTAGCAGGGCAAGAATTTAAACAAGGTCACTAATTTCTTTTCTTTTTTCCCTTTTGAGCATGAACATCAGCCAGGGGAAAAAAGAAATTTGTAACAGTGACATCTTTTGGTTTTTAATCCCTTATACCACAACTTAATCTCAATTATATATATATATATAAAATAGTGTGTGTGTGTGTGTGTGTGTGTGTGTGTGTGTGTGTGTGTGTGTGTGTGTGTGTGTATATATATATATATATATATAAATAGTGTATATACATATAAATATATAGGAAAATATATTTTTTTACGAATAAATAAATAAATAAAGTATAATAATAATTTAAAATTATAATTATATATATATATATATATATTTTAAACAATTAAAATCTTTAATTATTATTATTACTTTATTTATTTTTTCGTAAAAAATATTGTATTTTCATAATATATATATATATATATATATATATATATATATATATAGTGTGTGTGTATATATATATATATATATATTAGAAAATATTATATTGTTTAAGAAAAAATAAATGAATAAATAAAGTAATAATAATAATTTAAAATGATCATTATTTAAATATATATATATATATATATATATATATATATATGTATATATATATATTAAACAATTATTAATATTATAATTATTATTATTACTTTATATTTTCGTTAAAAATGTATCGTATTTTCGTAATATATATATATATACTATTATATATATAAAAAATATTTTATATATATATATATATATATATATATAAATAATATTATTTTATAATATATATATATATATATATATACACACATATATATAAATAATATAAAATATTATAAATTTATAAAATTATATATATATATATATATATATATATTATAAAAGTGCATGAATAATAATTTAAAAAATAATTAATTCCACAAAGTAGAATAAAATTTATAAAACAGCACAGAAAAAAGGAAAAATTACATAGAGATATATATATTTATATATATATATATTTGAGTTTTTTCCTCTTTTACACTCTCAGTCAGGGAGAGACAGGGTCTCCACGTTATCATAAACACATCATGACGACCTGAGGCTCTAAATATTACACGTTCATAATTAGCAATATCTGACATGAGTTCCATCCATTCAAGGTCACTATTTTTATTTTAAACAGAGGAGGTACGGGACAGAGGGTGATGATTTACTTTTCACTGCATGCCTTTCAAATTCCACACAAGAAGGGAATAAAGACGTCTAAGATCTTCCTCTACTGGACCTCTGTGCACTTTTTAATACCGTGAGTATTATTCTTAAATTCAAGGAGCCTATTTTACTCTACAGTGAGCAAACACTCTTTCAGGAAGTATCCCTGAAAGAGAAAATCTAAGCAAACAAGCTCAAAGAAAATGAAGCACTAATGCAAATGTTTATCCAAACAACTGTGGCAATAACTGGAGGCGCGTGTGTGATTTCATCAACATTAAACCATAATTACAGTCATATCAAAGGCATGATTCATGCATCAGGCTTATACAGATGCGAGAAGTCAAGACGTCAGGATCCAGGACGTGTCTGGGAATGCCTGCTGTGGGTATGACTTCATCATCCCTCTGGTTTGGTGATGAAAGATCACTTTTTATGTGGAGAGATGAGCCACGTCTTGCACTCATGCAAAGCTTTACCTCATTCTTAGTCCAGATGGTACAGTGTGACCTTTTTCTTCTTGATCTTTTCATTTCCCACACACACGGTCAAACACGACTTAGTTGACCTCAAAATAAGGAAGCAATAGTGAATGCTTCCCGTCACAGTGCGTGTACAGTAAAGACTCTCAGCCTGTGCTGTGATCAATATTATGATACACTCGGGTTTCAGCCCTTCCTGATCCTGGAGCTTATCATGTTTTTATAGACCTCGATGTCTGTGTGTCCCTGGTGCTGTGTCAGTGGTGGCTATTTATAGATCCCAGCTTGCTAGAAGCACAGAAAATGTCATTAAAAGGCCTTCAGCTTCCATTCATACAAAATAAGACAGCTTTTGTTTGTTTGTGTGTTCGGTGTGTGTCCACCAAATGTCCCCACAAGGATAGTAAACGAAGTACATTTTGATCTTACACTCTCAGAAAAAAAGGTACAAAAGCTGTCACTGGGGCTGTACCTTTTCAAAAGGTACACTTTTGTACCCAAAGGCTGCATATTAGTACCTTAGTGGTACATATTAGCACCTGAAATGTACATATTAACACCTAAAATGTTCATATTACCACCTAAAATTGACATATTAGGACCTAAAATGTACATATTAGCTCCTGAAATGGACATATTAGCACCTAAAATGTACATATTAGTGCCTAAAATGTGCATATTACTACCTAAAATGTGCATATTAACACTTAATGTACATATTATCACCTAAAATGTACATATTACAACCTAAAATGGACATATTAGATCCTGAAATGGACATATTAGCACATACAATGTACATAACAGCACCTAAAATGTATATATTAACACTTAAATGTACATATTAACACCTAAAATGTACTTATTAGCACCTAAAATGTACATATTAACACACGAAAATGTACATAACTGCATACAGAGAAAGCAAGTTTTAAACACCTGAATGGAAATATGTTATTTATCAGTGCTTCAGGTATGAGGTTAATATCTGTTTCTCAAAAGTACACAAAGACCTATTGAAAAATAAAGTAACCTGGTTGCCTTGAAATTTTAAGTTGATTGAAATGGAAAAATTGAGTTAATACAATGAAGGAGAATGATTTAATCATCAGAAACTCAAAATATTATGTTATATGAAGTACTTAAATTATTGAAGTTGATTTGACAAAAGAAAAATGTTGTGATTACAAATCATGAAAATATTTTTTTATAGTGGTGTAATTTATACGCGAAAATTAGTTTTTACGCAGTTTTTGCGTGCATTTGATACACAGTTCGTTTGCGTGTAATACACACGCACCCCACACCACTAATTCTACCCAAACATATAATACACACGCACCCCACCCCACTACTAAACCTACCCATGTGTATGCACGTAAAAACTCACTTTAGCGTATAAATTGCGCGATAAACACAATGCGTGCTATAAAGAAGCATTTAGTGTAATCGGGTTGGAGCCAGACACACTCCTTTTGATACCTGCCATTTGGTTTCTTAAAAAAAAATACACAGATACTTTCAACTCTACTCAATAACACACACACAGTCCTACTGTGTATTGATGCTTTCATCTGTTCTACTGGATGGACCAGTTACCACCAGCACAGACTGACAGGCCAGGTGCACTGTCTCTGTTTGACTTTACCTTAACTAAAAGCCACAGAGATTGAACAAAGGCAGCCTATTCAGAACCGACACAGAGGCACGCAAGCACTGCGGGGAGAAGATTTACCATTCCCACAGACCAATGAAACGCTCCATCAGTCAGAGCCGATATGAACACAATGATCAGCCTTTTGTTTCTGCTCATTCACACCCTGAAACTGAGCAGAGCAATAGTCCAGAGGTGAAGTTTCCTGGTGACTCAGCATAGCGTGTGTTTCCCTTCCCTCGGTGGGTGCTCAAAATCAGAAACAAACTTTTTTTAGGTGTTTTTTTCTTTTTTTCTTCTTTTCTTTTTCACAATAATTGCCCATAATTAGGAAAAATAACCAATGACAGCTTTTCCCCCTGAATGTAATCAAATTGAGTGCAATAATCACCAAAATGACCATTACCGCCGCGACAACTGCCGCAGCAAATCCAAAAATAAACCAGTCGCATTTTAAAGGAGAAGTTCAATTTTCAAAAAACTTTTGCTGATAATTTACTCACCCCCATGTCATCCAAGATGTCCATGTCTTTGAAATTAAGGTTTTTGATGAAAACATTCCAGCATTTTTCTCCATACAATGGACTTCAATGGGAACCAAACGGTTCAAGGTCCAAAAGACAGTTTCAGTACAAACTGCGAAATGTTTAAAGGGCTTTAAACGATTCCAGATGATGAATAAGGGTCTTATCAAGCGAAACGGTCGCTCATTTAATAAATAAATACCAAAATTTAAGTTTTATAGTTTAGTTTATAAGCTCTATTCTGTGATGGGTGTTCGTGACTCTCTTGTTCGAACTCGTTTATCAAAATGAACAAATCTTTTTCAGAGTCGATTCGTTCGTTTCGTTCATTGGAAAATGATTTGTTAATTTTGATGAACGAGTTCAAATAGGAGTCACAAACGTGCGTCACAGTAAAGAGCAAGGAAACCATTTGAGCTTATAAAACTTAAAATTTTGTTTTTTAATTATTAAATGAGCGATCGTTTCGCTTGATAAGACCCTTATTCATCGTCAAAAATCGTTTAAAGCCCTTTAAACAGTTTGCAGTTTGCACTGAAACTGTCTTTTGGACCTTGAACCGTTTGGTTCCCATTGAAGTCCATTATATGGAGAAGAATTCTGGAATGTTTTCATCAAAAACCTTAATTTCTTTTCGACTGAAGAAAGAAAGACATGGACATCTTGGATGACATGGGGGTGAGTAAATGATCAGCAAAAGTTTTTTGAAAAGTGAACTACTCCTTTTAAGTCGTTCGCGAAATGACCACCAGGTGGTGCAAAGGGACATTTAGCGAAAGCAAAACGTAATTATGTAAAAGTAGCATACATTTTAAATAGAATACAGCAAACTTTTATAGCAGAACATTTTATGAATCAAAAGTGAAATCAAAAGTCAGTGGGAATAAATTGGGTGCAATCAATGACGCTAAACTATTGAGGAATGAAAAGATTGAAGAGCTCTTCTCTCGCGCGCGCGACTGCTGAACAACCGAACTCTGGGCATTTCTCAGTGAGAAAACTTGTGGACGAGTGGTAGAACTTAGGTTTCAATCATTTTGATGACACTGTTCCAATAAACATGGTATTTTATAAAATTACCATGCATTTCCATTTTACACTAAACTAATAAATCTCATC